AAGGTGGCCGGCCAGAATGTCGTTGCATTATTCATGCGGCAGTTAGCTCTGTTTTTCAATTTTGTCTTACGGTCCCGCGTATCCTCTGTGTCTCTGCCGCATAAAAATTAAGACAGAAATCTGTTGCCACGAACAGCTATATGGAAGACCACAATCAGTCATAACATTGAGATGGATGAAAATGCCTCTTGTTTTGTCGATCCTCAATTTTAATAATTCATCCCTCAACTGAGACGTAGCGAACCCTCCCGGATCCCGGGGACAAACTTTCAATTTGCCCCCCCCCCCCATAGCAGCTAAAATAAGCTTATTTTGGCGCCCGTAGGATCGGCACCCGGGGACATCTGTACCCCCTCCGTCGCAACAGCCCTGTCGCTCAACCCTAGAGGTCGTTAGGGTTCTACAGTTGATTTTTTCATAGTTTCTGCCATCTGGCTCGGTCCACTGCTGCTCTAAGTAGTTCAGCACATTCCATTCTTTGTAGTCATCCATCTGCTGACGTCTTTGCCTTCCTTTTCTTCTCCCTCCTGGCACAGTGCCCTGCATACAATATTGTTTCGTATCTTGACAATGCACTGTAAACTCTCAAAAGTACCAATCGCATTAGTGATCCTTTCACAGACCTCTTCCTTTGTTATGTGATCTTTGTATGAGATCCCTAGAAGTCTGCCTAGACATCTCATTTCCAGGGCATGGATTCTTCTCTGGAGGTCTGCGTTGAGGGTCCATGAATCGCATCCATACAGAATAGGAGACATGACCAATGACTCCATGAGTTTAACTTTTGTGCCGACAACTACAAGTATTTTTGACACCCTAATTATTTTTAATTTACTTATTGTTGTTGTCATCCCCAATTTACTTTTGACTAAATAGACAATTTGGCTGTGTGTGAACAAAGCGTCGCGCGTGTGGTAGTCCCCAGGCCCCGCGCAGATAGAGTTATTACAACGAGACCTCTGTTTTATATTTTCTAATATGGTTATGATCCCTAATATTATTAGATCTAGATTCTAGTATTAGTAATTTTCACTTGTACATTGTAAAGATTTGTAAAAACTATAACAAAAAAAGTCTAGACTATCTGATGAAACTTCCGGTATTTTGATTTCGAGCTGAATAGTCTAGTAGTCTAGTAAAAATATTAATAAACAATCGGAGAAGAGTGAGCTACTGAAAGTTACTAGATCTACGTAAAACTTTATTTGAGCCTAAGGTTATTAATTTGTAATACATTTTAATTTTTATTCCAAATGCATGAAGAAGATTTATTAAACGGTAAGCTACGTGCAAGTTTTTATTTTACCTAAAATAGCTAGATTTGTCTAGTTAGTCAAATTACTAGTCTAGAACTCTAGATCTACTTGAATGTAAACAAAGAAAATGTAAATCTTGTCTACCTTTTTAAAAGTGGAATAATGTTTTCGAACTGGGTTGACTTTTTTAAAAATTAGCGGAAAAATGTGCCTACATTTGAGTGCAGTACTAGAGATCTAGATCTAAAATCGGTAAGCAAAAGAAACAAATTCAAACTTAAAACGAAAAACAGCGCAAATTACTTTGTGCGACCAAAAACATGGAATGAATAATAACAGTCAATAAAACAAACAATTAGTTCTTATATATATGTTTGTGCTTCTTTTATGTTATTTTTACGTGTTTTACGTTAATTTCATATTATTTCAAAATTGAATGTGCATTTTTTTTTCATTTGTGTACAATAAATGTATGTAATGTCAATAATTTTACTATTATGGTACCTAAACCAGTTGCAGGAAAGGTGCCCCTATGACCAATTCCTGGCTACGCCCCTGAGCTAACCAAGTTTTATGAATATTTGCTTTTTAACAGTGTTACATATATTTTTCTTAAACTGCGTGTGGTATTTTTATTTCGACATTAAACATTTAAAATACGGTAACCTTTAGTTATTCATTTTAACAAATATACTGCATTATAGTATAGTAGTTAATTTTAAAAAGTTTTAGCTATGTAGACCCTACACTAACTTTCAAACATTTCATTTAATTGTATAGGCACTACGGATCTCTGAATATGGATGTCCGAAGAACGAGTGTGTGAGAGGTCCAACAGTCGACAGATGGTCTCTGTAATATGACATCTAATTTAAGATGGAAACCGAAAGCTCTCCTGCTCCATCACGTTGCTATCATTTTCTTCGTAAAGCTGTCCCTAGCTTCGTATGCGTTGTCTTATTTCTTCTTCAGGCGATAGTTTTAGACTATATTGTGATCAAACGTGTATCTGTTCAATACGCAGGCTGGCTGGTTTCCGATTTCATTAATTTAGTCTTGCTTATGAGCATCACTATCAACCCGTGTTTGAAAATATGTATACACAACAAACACAGGTTCAAAATGGTTGACAATTTATCTTGGCTTGCGTGGTTAACCATCAGCCTCAATGTTAGCATCAAGGTCATTTTTATAGTTGAGCGAAAAGAAAACATGGAACTTATGAAAAATTCGTTTTATAGTTCAAATACTTTTAAAACAGCCGTGGCGCTGGGGAGTTGTATATATCCGCTGCTGTTGTACACCCAGCACGATGCTCCTCGATGCAGTCCTGAATGGAAGTACATCGACGACTTGACCGACACGGTGGTCTTCGATATTTTGGACACGGCTGACATCTTGGACGTCTTCTTTGACATGGAGGACCGCAGCTTGTTGTGGGACGGGTTAGAGGAGATCATTCTGGCGCAGTCGGTGCTGAATCTGGTCTTACCCACCGTTCCTCTCTTGACGCTGTGCTGCACGGGGTTCGGGAAGACAAGGATCAGCAAACATTTGGTTTACATTCACCGGTTGCTAGTCGTGCTTGTGGTCAATGTCCCCAACCTCGTCACTCGCTTTGTGCTATGGCACGGCGTCAATGTCGGCATTTCCCCGTTTGTTCTCAAGAACATTATCCTCATTTGTATTTTTCTATCGAAGTGCTGCGACGAGGCAGATGACGATTGTAATGATGTTGAAATTACTTCTGGAACTCAGACCGACAATGTCTTACGACCCGGCACATCAATTCCATAGTCAACGAAACTACCTTAACTGATCGAACGCCACATCATTCCACTACTAGATCCTTGCAACGTACAAAAAGCTTACCCATTTTACAGACTAATAATACTGGTCTACGGATATGTTGTCAACACGCACTCGCTCGGGTACCAGTTACACAAATTTAACTAATTGTTTTATTGTTTTCACTCTATATTGCAATAAAACGTATTCTATATTTTACAGTGCAATCTTTGTAGTTAAAATCCTACAAATCTTTATAGGCAAAATTTTTAAATAATTGTGGTCCTAAATTTGTTCCTTGAAACTGATCGTTCATCATTCTTAACAAAACATAAAGTTTATAATATGTTTTGTTGAAGACTTTTTTAATGTTTCATTCTTATTTTAGCTCACGGTACAAAATAACACCATGCGTTAAAGTATATTAAATATTATGAGCCGAATAAAACATGTTGAACCCTTATATGTATGGCTCCTTTGTCTAATAGACCATTGGAATGTACGTGCATTGCAAATGCAAGGACAATACTTGGGTAGTAAGATGAGAAGGGCCAGATTATTAGCCCCCCCCCCCCTCTCTCTCTTTCTCCCACACAGCTGATGGACCTAAAGGACATGACGTTACCTGTACCGTTTGGAGCTGCTGAAAAAAAAGTTGGTAATAAATCCCGCCGTTCTAAACCCTCAAAAAAAAAAACAAAAAAAAACATGGTTTAAAATACATTAAAATAATAAAAATGGCTAGATAGTAAACTATATTTCCTGTTGAATGGCTTTCTAGTTTGACCAATGTTTATACACTTAAAGCAAAATGAAATTTCTGTTTATTATTTTACTCAATTTAAAAAGCTCTGAATGTTTAATTTCTACCAGAAATTTAGTACAGACACCCATCACATTATAGACGTCTTTAATAACCGAAAGTAAGGTACAAACGCCGACATAAAATAGGCAGTAGGCGCCTCCATGTCCCCCTCATTATTCGAATTACTCATATATGTGCTTGCTTGTTTTAATTAGGCAAATTTTTATTTTTCAAAAAAGGGCCAACTATCATTCCCCACCCCAAACACAGCCATCGGCCTCACACTACCCCCTATAAATAATATTTTTATAGAAACTATATACCTCACCCAGCGTCCGCCCACCCCACTAAAATTTTAGTCCGCCCCTGAAAGTTTAAGTCGCTCCTCCCCCACCCCCCCCCCCAACACACTCCCCACCCCCCCCCCCCTCCTTCGTGAAAGACACCGATTACAAGCATATATTTATTATATTACAAATTCCAAAAAGAATTTTAAACGTAGGTCTACCATGACGATTTGAGTTAGACCCCCTCTCTCATTCTATAAATTCAATTTTTTTTTTTTTGCTTGTACGAAAATCGAAACAAGATCTTGACTAAGATCATCGTCTAGTTTATGTGTTCTGGCCGAAAGTCGTGAAGGGGAAGCTTAAATAAACGAAATCATTATAGTTTATTTATAATATCGAGAAGTCACACGAGACTCATATGACACGGACAAAATGGCGACCTCCGACGATTCCCTAGAAATACTTCTTAGTAAGTAGTATTATTATGTTTTCCATTTTTTTCTATGATTTTATTTAGTATGGATAATAATAATAATAAAATCTAATTAAAACTAAGCATCTTTGTGTTGGTCACCCAAATTGCATTTTATTTTGATAAATGCCATTGTTTACAAAAATGTCAACTTAACTTTTCGATGTTTGTAAAATAATTTTTGTGTGGACAAGTAAAAAAAGAATGATGAACACTGAACAGAAATCCGGCTTATCTCGTTTTAGCGGTTTAGCGTAATTTATCTACAGTTGGGCATATTTTATTCAAATAAAACGGGAAAACACAAAAAAGACGTGTGGGAAACTCACTAGTCACTCTAGGCCTATTTCTTGTCTTGTTTAGGCTATTTTAAATTTTTTTTAATTAGTTAGAAAAGCCCCCCCCCCCCCCCCACAGCCGCACAGTACTGGGAATAGAAACATCAGATCACTGAACTGTTTTTGTGTTTAGATAAAAAAAATATTTAAAATTGGGTGGAATTTTTATACCAGTGTCTGATAATAGAAACTTCTTTAAAAAGGGTTAGGTTACACATACTCTTGGTTACTGGTAGTTAATGTCATTGCTAACCCCAACCCTGGTCCTTCCATATGCACAACCCTGGTCCTACCATATGCCTAACCCTAATTTCCAACCATAAAGCTAGTCCAGATTACATTACAACTAACAACCTAACACTCCTAATTTTGGAAATGTATTAATGGTATTTAAAATCATCCCAAAAAAAATGAAAAAGCATTTTTTCAGTTTTATGTTCTTGGTCATGAAAGCTTATTGCCAGCTCACATTTCCTTGTTAGCAGAGTTCACATTGCTTTAGATATAAGCATACATCATAGCTTGGGCATTTGCTATTTGAAATTGTAGTGCCGTCACTTTTGGGGTCATTGTGAGTTTATGGATGTAATATTTAGAATCAACCCTTTGAAATCCTGGCAGAATGAGCTCCCTTAACCAACTGGCAGGCTTGTTGCATAAAATCAAACAACTGCTGCCTTTTAGATTGTTTTTGGTTGGACAAATGAAATGGAAGCAAATACAGAAAGAAAAGCAGTTGACATGTTATACTTGTGTTTGAGGAAATCCCATCCAACATTATATTTAAGAACGAAGAAAAAGAACTGTATAATTGAGTTGGTACTTCAACTTGAATAAAAACTTATTTACGTGTGTGTTATTCAAGATGCTAGATAAAATTGAAGCCATAATATATTATACAATTATTATACTACAGGATAGGCATAAAATCTTACCTCTTTGTAAGGCTTGTAGTTTTATTATCCTTGTTTAAATTTACACCATTTACTAACATAACTAGCTAATTATTTTACACAGTAACTTTGTTCTATTAACAAATACAATTATTCCATAGATCGTGCAACAGATCCATCAATGAAAGAAGAAGACTGGGAAAAGATTACTGCTTTTTGTGATAAAGTTGTTCATGAGTTGGAAGGGCCTCTTTTATCAACTAGACTACTGGCTCATAAAATACAATCTCCACAAGAAAAGGAAGCTTTATATGCATTGTCTGTATGTATTTTTCCAATTAATGATAATCACCAACTTAATTGCTTTCAGCTGATTTAATTTTTATAATATAATAGATTAGCTTTTCTTAAGTTTTAACTTCTATACAATCTTGTTTTTAAGTTAAGTGTAAGCAACTGCATCCAAGTACTTAATAAATAATTGGTTTCACTTTGTTTTCTTTAACGGATCTCTTTAATTAAACTTAATTAATGTACGTATTTGCAGTTGTTTTTGTTTGTAGTTGCTTTTTTGGTTAATTATGGAAATATTTCATTTTATTAAATTACAGCAAATTTGTAATATTTTTGTTCACCTTTCAAGTGCTTATTGTCTTGTTATGTTTTTTTTCAAGAATGGTTTTATATTTCAGACTCTTGAAGCATGTGTGAAAAATTGTGGCAGATATTTTCATCAAGAAGTTGGCAAGTTTAGATTTCTTAATGAGATTATAAAAGTTGTTTCACCAAAGGTATGTCATTTTAACATTATTTGAAACATATTCTCTTTTTGTTTCTTGATATAATTTTATGCCTTTCTTTATTATTTTCCTCGTATTCCATTTGCAGTACCTTGGAAACCGTACATCTGAGAAAGTAAAAAAGAAGTGTATAGAGATTCTTTATAGCTGGTACAAAGGTCTTACACATGAACCAAAAATTGGAGAAGCCTATAAAATGTTAAAAGCACAAGGGATTATTAAAGAGGATCCAACCTATATGGACAAGGTTAGTTTGTAATTTATTTTTCTTTAAAAAAAACTGCTCTACATGGTGCATTTCATTTCCCCCCCCCCCCCCCCACATACACACACTTTTTGTTTTATTAAGGAGTGTTAATAACACAATACTTAATTATAATAATAATTTATGTTGTTATTTGCTAAAATTTGAAGAATGATTTTTTTTTACAGAGCTTTGACCCATTTCCACCTCCAAAACCTAGAAAAGCTGATTTTGAAGATGACGAAAAAGCAAAAGTATGTCATAAACTTGTGATAAACTATTGTTCTCTTTGCTAATGTCCTAATAGTTTTAATCTAAGATATTCATTATTAAAATAATTTTTCTTTGTGGTTTAAAGCTTCTTTTTATTGTTTTAGACACTGGAACGCCTTTTGCGTAGCAAAAATCCTGAAGACTTGCAAGCGGCCAACAGATTGATCAAAACTATGGTGAAAGAGGTTGTAGCACATTTTTTCTTCTTAGATAAATTGGTATTGTTATAGTCTGTTTAGAAATCTTTACTAGTTTTCAATTACTTTAAGTTTTATGTTGTTTGTTTTGGAAAGGATATGGAAAAGACGGAGAAGCGGTCACGGCGTATAAATGAACTAGAATCTGTGGGGAACCAAGTCAAACTTCTGACAGAGATGATCTCCCAGTATTCATCAAACTCGTCTAAAGAAGAGTTAGAAATGATGAAGGTATGAAGTTTTTATAGTGCTATTTATTTCTTATTCAAACACTTATTAAATTTAGACTTATTAATACTATGATCATACATTATCTTGTTTAAAATAAAGTTATGCTATTTGACACAGGAACTGTATGACAATTTAGAAAAACAGAGACCTAATCTGTTCCGACTGGCCAGTGACACTGATGAGAATGATAATGATGGCATAAGTAAGTTATTGAATTCACAAATTTAACATTTAAGCTTGTTATTCATTATATTTTTATTTATAATAAATTTAATATATATATATTTATAATATATATATTTTGTGGCAAATGTATTTTCAGATGATATTCTCAAAGCTAATGACTCTGTTACAAGAGTCATGACATTATACAAGGAGAAGGTGGAAGGAGAAAAACCTATTGGAGACTATACCGTAGGCGCTAAAGGTAACTGGATTTTTTTTTACATTTTCTTTTTAAATATTTAAAAACTTTTTAGTAAACAATACCTTTGGGGTGCTGTTTGAAATCATTTTAAAAAGTTTATTTTTAATCAAGTAGTTGTAGTCAATGTGTCAAAGAAATTCATAATTTACAAATTTTTTCAATTTGATGTTAGATTCTTCCTTACTGGATCTTGGATTAGATTCAAGTTTGAAAAGTAACAATATATCAAGTACCGCATCTGCAACAGGCCTGTTAGAGAATGACTTCAATTCTTTGGGTTAGTTTTGCTGGTTTATTGTAAACTACGGCCGTAGTCTTTTTTTACGTGACATTGATTTCTTTTGAATGTGGCAGTTGAATGAACAAAAATATTTTTTTTTATTGGTAATTAACAATTATAACTCTTATTTGATCACATCATGCTAAAATTAGCTAAAAAAATGTATCATGAAAAAAAATACCATTATAATTTCTTTAAAACAAGTCCATAATACAGATGTTTACTTCACGAAAGGTGGAGATGAAAGTTATGTTATTGTTCAGTTCTTAACAGTGCTCTCAAACTTAATTTTTTTTTAGGTTTAGGAGATATGAATGATTTAGGAAGTATCTTTGGTAGCATGGGACAACAACAGGTAGCTTTTTACTTTATTCATTTATTTATTTAGATTTAGAGTTTACATATTTGTAGCATTTTACAAAAAAACTAAAATGTTGAGTTTATTGGTTAAAAACGTATTCTCAATATTTTTTGTTTCAGCAATCATCTGCTATCAATAATTTCTCGCCCCAGTTAATTATGGCACCTGCTATGAACATGTCTGCTCCAGTGTCACAGTTTGGTACCCAACCTGGTTTTACAGCAATCCCTGCAAGGTCCCCAATGATTCCTTCTACTGGAATGTTCACTGGTCTGTTTGCTTTTTTTTTTTCTAATAAGAATATTGAGAATATAATGGTCATTTTCATTCTTTTATGTACACCTATTCCAGTACCAATGAACAATGTTCCCTCTAAGTTGCGCGGCCGCGCAGTAGTTTTGAACTGCAGCGCAGTGATTTTGTAAAATAAATACATCCTTGTATAAAACTTTCAGAACAGCGTGCACAGAAAATACATTTTGCACACTAGCTTTTCCCCCTTAGAGGGAACATTGCCGATGAAGCCTAGTTGTAAAACTGTTTTAAAATTGTTTTTTCTGTTTAAAGGTGCACCACCAGCATACAGTGCAATATCACATAGTGTACGACCTGCTGTATCTGCTCCCAGCATCTCTGAGCCTAGTGTATTTAACAGTCAGCCTGGTTCATCTCTTGCTGACCTGGACATACTCAACAAGTCACTACAAGACTACAACCTCCATAAGGAGACTTTCCCTGTCAAAACGTAACTATCACTTCTACATATTCTTTTAATACATTAACTGCTTGCCCATTTACATACTACAATTGTTTAGTAAAAGCAATTGGAACCAAAAGCTCAAAAGTCAGTATTGAGATTACTGTAATCTTTTATCTGATAAAAAACTACTTAACTGATTGACCTCCTTTCTATAAAGGCATGTCTTGTTTACAGATTAAATCAAGACAGTCTCCATAAGTATGCATAGATAGCATTTAATTAGCAAATGTTTCAATAATTTAACTTATCTGTTTGTGTGCTTTAAACATTTTTCAGTAGATACAGAGAAGGGGTGTAAGTGGTCACATTTATTTTCCTGAATATTTTATAAGGGAATTTTCTTTTCAAAAAAATTGCTGTTTTCTTTTTTCGCCTTGTATTGACTTGTCTTTCTTTTTTTATTTTCATCTTGGAGAAAGCAAAAAAAAATTAGGCATGACATTTGAAAATTGGTAATTTATCTAAAAATTAATTTAAAGCAAACTTATTATCAGGTTCTTCAATGTTTAGTCAAGGGACATTATGTGACAACACAATACTAGAATGTACAGCATGTGACAACACAATACTTAATTTGCTTAATAATAAGGATAATAAGACTGAATATAATACATAATGTTAACTATGAATGTAGCAAACAATAGAATATAAAATAAATAAAAAGAAACTCAATAAAATCTCTAGCACACATGTCCTTCCACGACTTGACTGCCAGCTGTCACAAACTAACTCATCCTAGCAAACATCAACTTTCAACCCCCACATGAACATTCGTCATACGTTAACACATCACACACACCCAAGGGCTAAAACTGTACAAGTTAAGGGTACCTGTTATTTGATAGCACAATACACAATCGAAGGAGGATATAAATTAGGGACTCCGCACTTATAAAAATATTTCAGTTACAAGAATACTTGAGTATTCAACTTAAAAATATTTACTTTTTTAGTTCAGTTTTAGAATATTATGTTAAGTTAATTCTTCAGAACTATCCCTTAGTTTTTACTTCTTAGGGTGTCACATTGCTTATGTTGCCTTTTTTAAATTGTGGTTGGTGGTGAAAAGATAAAGGTGTTTAAGACTGATTTAAGCCTCTACAGTTTTAAAAATCAGTTATTTTAAAGTAATACATAACAAACATTATCAAAATAAGAACCTTGGTTTCTTTCTTACAATAACTGAGTAAATTTTAAAAACAAAATTTATCTACTAAGTAGCATCCATTGTTGTTTTTTTGTTTTTTTTTTATCTTACCTTGAATGGTGAACTTTAAAAAAAATAATTAGGTTGTATAATAAAGTTTTGTTTTAGGATATAAGCTAAATTAAATAAATTTGAATCAGGTTTTATCTTGAATGATAGGTATGTTTAGTACCTTTCCACTCAAATCTTAGTTTTCATAAATCCGCAAAACCCATATAAGAAAATCCTGCAACAGGATCAAGAGATCTTAAAAATTAATCTTGATATTTTAGTTTGAACCAAGCTATTCTAATCATGCTACTGGTGAACTCAAATGCATCATCCATTCTCCAATCATATATTGGATTAAATATCTCAGCATAGTTATTTAGGAGGCATTCTTTTTGTCAGCAAAATGTGCACTGATAGCACTTGTAATAAGGCGATTGTAGTTTGTTTTTTTTAATTCAGACTTATTACATAAATTTTAAAATATAGAATTCTTATTCCTTTTCTACAAATTTAATATTATGGTTTTGGTTTTAAAATTGAAGCAGTTTTTCTGTTTATTAAAAAAGTAGAAGTTTTCTCTTTTTTTTTCTAAAATTACTCATTTGGTAGTGTATTTCAGAACTGCAGGCATTGACTAGTACAATAATAGTTATTATTATATTAATATTAAAAGTGGATATCAACCCAAGTACTTTTTATTTTCATTTCTGCTTGCAAATTAAGATCCATCTAGTTGAAGCATGTGATAATTTATTTTAGATTTCTATACTTTATGAAATTGTGCACTTAACTTATACCTACTAATTATATCCAAATTCTTCAAATGTGCAATGGGAGAAAAAATTTCAAATACTGTTTTCACTTTGTAATTTTCAGGGTTGTTGCTTATGTGACCATTCTAAAAACTGTTGCCTGAATCATTGTTAGTTCATTGCACCACAGTTAGAATTACCCTCTATTCCACATTTTCAATACAAATATTTGCACAGTCAGAGAATGCCAATTTTTTATTTTGAAAAGTAACCACCAGACAGTGCTAAAACCTTGTCAAATAAATAATTAGTTCACTGTAGTGCCAGATTTTTAGCAAAAATTTCTGTTCTAAACATTGATTGGAATGTTCTAACTAGAATAAGTTTGAACTGTCTTTATATATTGATAATTATAAACCCTGTGGTAATTTATTCAAAATATATTTTCAGAGTACCTGTAAAACTGCCACTTAACCAGTTAGCTGCAAATAAAGCTGCTGCATCTGCTGTCGTCACAACTACTGCCGTTACCACTAATGCCACTCAGATGAGTTTTGGTCAGGCTATTCTCCAGCCATCTCCCGCAGGCCAAGTATCAGCAGCTCCTGCTAACAACACAGACTTCTCTGCAATGGTTAGTGCTGAGCCTGTGCCAGAACTTCTGCCACTGACTGACATCTTTGTGCCCCTAGATAAAATACAACCTGGTATGCTACACTCATCTTTGTATTTTATTGGGTTATGGGGATGGTGAAAAGTTTTAGCTTCTTAAGATTAGCAGCCTCATGTGATCTGTTAGTGACAGGCATATCTTAATAGTCTTGTAATGTCTAGTGCTATTTGAATATGCAAAGACTATTTTTAATCTCAGAATGCAGTACCGTATGTTAATAATGGAAATTGTGCACAAGTTGTAAAAATATGTTAATTTATGTAATATTCTTATTTCATATCATTTGATATGCTCTGTTGTTGCCTTGCAGCCCCCAATATCCCATCAATAACAGCATATGAAAAAAACAATCTGAAAATGATGGTGCACTTTGCTAAGGATCGCCCTAGAGCTGATGTGGTTACAATGGTGATTTCAACAATATCTACTAATTCAGCCCCTATTACTGGTTTTGTCTTTCAGGCAGCTGTTCCTAAGGTATGGTGGTTGTAAAATACAGTAAATAATTTATATTTTAAAACCACCACTTTGCTGCTTTGTTTTTTAAAAGTAATATTTTTAATGAATGTTTAGTCCACATACCTGCCCTTTTTGCAGATACCTGAATCATTGTTACCAGTACACCTTTGGTTTGTATACAACTAAAATCTATTGTTTAAATGCAGATCATGAAAGTAAAGTTACAGCCACCTTCAGCTACAGACTTTCCTGCCTACAACCCTATACTTCCACCAGCAGCAATCACACAAGTCATGTTGGTAGCTAACCCAAGAAAGGTCAGTCTTTAAATATTAATATTGGTGGTGTTTTTATATCTCACTTAAACTACATTGCGTATCATGAGTTACCAGCCTTGGATTATGCTATGGGTGGAATCCACCAATATATTTTTATAAGAAGAAAAATGGAGACTAGTGTATACACAATGCAAATTAAAAGTCTAGATAATAAGCATTGCTGGATCTTTTGTTTTATAAGTAGAATACTACCACCCTTAGAAGCAATCTTTAATGCTGAAAACAAGGTGAGGGAAATATGACTTGGTAATTGGGGGGGAGGGGGCTTAAAGAAATGTGAAGATTTTTTGAAAGACATTAATTTTTTGGAATTGTTTATTGAAGGGGTTGGAGAATTTAAACTGTTTTCAGGGGTAGGTGGTTTAGACTGGTTACTTTAGCTGGAGTTTCTATTAAATCACCTAAACATAGTCAATCATTTAGTCATGATTATGGATGATCATTCATTAATGCCCACATTTTTTTGTGGGTGTGTGGTATTTTTGTGGCTAAATGTAAAAGTGCTCCTTCATTAGTATCTGTAATTCATCTGATAGATTTGCATCTCATAATTTAGATAGTGACTTTTATTCAGTGGCTGCATCGTCTTATCTATACTGCGATCATATTCTATATCTCATGTAAAATCCATAGCAGCAGGAGCCAACTTGTTTGTCTGTTGTGTTTAAGAGCAGACAAATTTAAAATACTGTATAGCATTGGCCACCACTTGGCCTCTTGCCAAACTCACTTTTCTGCATCACATGCTCATAAAAGTGCTTATCGTGGTGCAAAGAGCCCTTTCAAATGCACTTAGCCATTTGTATTTAAATAATACTTGGTAGATTAACCTCATTTATATTCAAATTATTATAGTGTTACAATTTTCTTTTCGCAGGAAAAGGTGCGATTGAAGTACAAGTTGTCATATATTTTAAATGGAGACCAAGTCTCTGATGTTGGTGATATTGATGGCATTCCTTTACAGTAATTTCTGTTACCTGGACTTCTTTAACTTTGGTTTCATTGAGGGCCTCTATAATTTTGTAAAAACAACAATTACATTTTATTTTTCAAAATGTAACACAATTTTATTTTACATTTTCAGCGAACATTTTTAAAATTAACAAATAGGTTACCAGGTACACAAAACTATATATGAACACTCAAATTTTCTGTTTGAACAAAAGTAGTAATATGGTTTTACATGTACACTTCTCTCCACCAGTTGCTTATATTTAACATTACCAGTACCAGAATGGTTTAAAACCAAGACATGAAAAACATTAAATAAAGCAACTCAAATGTGATGATTGTGATAATTTTGAGTGGATGTATCTGCACTTAAGTCATTGACCTTGTTTGTACCATGCAATCAGTCTTGTTATTGTTTTTATTGTACATTTTGTGTATAATGAATATTTACGCCTTTCATTTTTGGATGTTGTACCCATTCTACCATCGTAATTAGGCAGGAGTTGTTTTTTTTGTTTCAGAAGAATTTGATTTTGATCTAATAGCTTGAGTTCATACTCATTTATTGTTTAAAATGTTCACACAATGAAATACAACTATAATTATTTATTAATAAATTATATTAAAGAAAAATATTTGATTTTCCTTAATAGTTACTTATAAATGAATTTACAAATAAATTTCAAGAGCATTGTTTATGGTATTTTTATCTTAAAGTAAGTTGAAGGGGGGCAAGAAAGCTGCTAGGTAACATTTAATTACAACATCAATGTATGAAATGTTTCATTAAATGGGCATGGTGCAAAAGTCATTTGCCACATTCACTTATTTCGGTTAATGTATGCAGAAACTAACGAGTCCTGAATGAACATAAATATTAAGAGCATACTCATAATCTAAAACATCTAAATTTGCAGTAGTTCCCATATTAAGTTTATTTTGCAAATTCAAATATTGTCTAGATATAATTCAATAACAAAATTGTGGTTGTTATTTTGTTCTAGAGGCACAACAGCCTATATATCTAATAACCAAGTATGTTGCCATACAGTGGAGAAATGTTAAGGTGTTATTAATATACTTTTTATTTAATTAATAAAAGACTTTTATTTTATTTGGTAACTTAAAATTATTTTTCAATATCAATTTAAAGCATTTTTTTTAAAATGCTGATGCTCTGGAAGTGTTACTTACATGTAAAAGAGCTCATTTGCCAACATGTACTATGTACAGCTTTATACATTTTTAACCCTGCAGGTTTAAAATAACTGAAAATGAATTTTGCAAGTGTTCTGAAAGACTTCTAGTGTAAATTTAATTTATATATCGGCATCTAATTAGTTCTAATTAGTCAATATTCATTAACAATGTTCAACTGGAATCAATGGTTCAACTTCTACTGCAACATCTTTTGTGTGACAGTCATGTTTAGAAAAAGAATCTTCCATTTTTTTGACGTCCAATTTATTATTTATTGGCAAGGATTAATAATTTATTTTAAAATTTTGGGGTGGGGGGGGGGGGGGGGGGGTGTCATGAATAGATTTAACATTAGAATACTTGTTTACTACAAAAAAGTATTCAACTCACAAACTGTATACATTTAAATAGCAGTGCATGAAATCATGATACGGTATGTATAAGCAAGTGATCAAGATCAGAAATAGAGGTCATTAACCAGAAATGGTCCTAAGACAATTTGTAATGCTGTGTATGTTGCTGCAACTACAGTAAATAATACTTTGAAAATTATTTCCACATTAAAAACAAAATGTAATTACCTGTATACATTTTTAGTTAATATGAAAAATAATTTGGGGAAACATTTTTAGCACTGAAATGGCACACACCTAGATAAGTTTAACGAGCATATTGAAGGACTAAATTATTTGTGTTCACATTGAGGCCAGGATAAAATACATTTTTTTTGTGTTAATATAAATGGATGACCTCAAATCCAAAGAAGTGTGTTAAACACCAAATGTAATGACCTCAAACCATCAAATAAGCTTATCTCAAATAGAACAAACTTTAGCTATATTTTTTTTTTAAATGCAGTACCAGTATCATTTTTTATTCAACAAGTCAGCTATAACTATAAAGGAATATTTGCCTAAAACATGCAATCATAAAATGAGTAATAAGATAAATAAACAATCTACAATTCTTTAAGAAATCACAAAAAATGAAATCTAGGGATTAATTTTTGTGTTTATGTAAATCCTCATCACTTATCTCCTCTTTGATAACAAGTCTTACACTTTCATTCACATCACTTTCACCATCTGTGCTAGAAGAATCCAGTTCACTAAGACTGTCACTGTGTTTTTCTGTTCTATTGTCCACACTACTATTGACAGAAGAATACAAACTACTACCAGATGTATTCTGATCTCCTACATTGTCTGTTGAATTTAAACTTTCTAATCCATTATCTGTTGAGTTTAGATTAGAGTTACTATCAAGATCAAGAGTGCATGTGTCAATTATATTTCCATCACTAATATTTAGGCATGGCTTCACTGGGCTTAGTTTATCTGATTCAACTGACTTGAGAGGAGAATTCTGTTCCATGCCATTTACAGTCTGAATCAGCTGAACTGACTCGAGGTGAGAGTATCCACCTTCACTGCTGTTGACAAACAGCTCTCCATCATGTATTACTAAATGTCCATCAGAAGAGACTATCACATCACCATTTTGAGCCAACATGAAATGTCCCTCAGGGGTGATAACCATTTCCTCTGTAGACCCATCCTCTGTCAAGACAACCACTTCCTGAGTAGTCACAACTTCTTCCTCAGTGACTTCTTGATTGTGACCAACAACCAAATCTTCTGTGAATATGACTTCATCTTGATTCTGTCGATTGCAATTGCATGATGTTAATTTGCTTACACTTACAGTAAATATTTGGGTTTTTTTATATTGCTTTATAGATTTATGTTTTTAAAGTGTGTGTGCAATAATAATGCATTTCCAAAGAAAGAAATCATGGTTAAGTGTTACAGAACAGTTTGGCTGCTAACCCAAAGTCTCAAATTCGGCTCCTGTCTCAAGTCTGTTAGTATCTGAGTCTACCCACCTCTGATGGGTACCAACTCGGAATCACTTTAGGGAAAGTAAAGGCAGATGGGCATAATGCTGACCATACTTTCCCTTCAAAAAATAATGTCACTGAAACAGATGAACTCTACTTCACCTGCCCCATTGATCGTATGGTTCAGAAAGACACTTCACTTTTTTTTAACCATTGAATGGTTACTGTAATTTTTAAGTATTGATAATTTAACTGAAGAAAGAAGATACTGATTACAGAAATATATAACTAAATTTGGGTAGAAATAGTATACAATTTTCACAATAAATATTTTTAAAATATCCACAATGACGTCAATTTATTGACTACAATTTAGGTTATTTTTTGTAAGAAAACAATAAAAATTTGACAAGTGAAATCAAAGGACTAAAATGAGCTCAACACTGTCCGGTGTATTTCACAATTTGAGCATCTAAAACGGTTTTAAAATATATACATAAAAGATACTAATTGAGAAAAAATATATTACCTCCATACTCTCATCAGATTTTAGCATGCCACCTTTGTAAGTAGTTTCTTCACAGGTATCCATATCATCACCACTTTCATCTGAGGAAATGTCTGGGAAAACTCCAGATTTTTTAAATGAATGCATCAAAGCATGTTTTGTCATCACTCTTGAGTATGCTTGATAAGCCAACTCACCAACATTATTTCTACTCACATTAGGTGCTCCAGAAGATTTTAAATATCGGAGGCATAAGCTTTCATACTTTTTTTGTAAAATTTCTGAACATTCTACCTCAATAGGCTGCAAGAGATGGGTTGTGTGAGCTGGTATGAAAGAAAAAATGACATTATTACTTCGGCCCCACTCACTCATTCCAACAAATACATGACTTCTGGAGCCATCCATTAGCACAAGTATAGGTTCATTGTCCAACCGATTTGTCTGTGGCAGAAAATGTTCATTCAGATACCTACGAAAGATCTGAGGTGTACACCGGCCAATCTCTGAAACTGCTGCATTCACATTACTCGGTAAGCCTTTCATCATTTCAGTACGAATTTTACTAGCTTGAAAAACAAAGAAGGGAGCAATTACTTTCCCAGTTACACTCCCACAAGCTATTAGTGTTGTGTTGGTTGAATTTGTCGTTTTGAACTGGTGTCCACTTTTTCCTGAGACTGAAGGTGCTGGGCCATGGTCAGTTGTTAAAACTATTTCCATAATGTTATAGATTTTGTCACTCTTCTCCAACAATTTGTATCGATCTATAATCTTTTTTATCTCATCAAAGTAAGTCCTTACTGTGTGCTCAGCATCCATCTTGTTTTTAAACTTGTAACTTAGTTCTCTGATAGATGGCCATCTGTTAATAAAACTGTCAACCCATTTTGTGGTAAGCCCATTGGATCTAGGACTTCTCTTTCCCTTTTCAACAGCTTGATCTGTTGCTATTTCTGCCAATTCCAAACGAGTGTAGCGGTATCCATACTTGGCCATAGTATGCAGAAAATGTGAGATTTCTGACTCTTCTTCTTGTGTTAAAAGTAATGGTGGACCTGGTCTTGTTGTATCAATGCTAATTCTTCCATCAACTCTATCCCTTAGTGTGGTTAATGGTACACCATATTGCTTAGCTGCTGCATTAACTGATATGCTACTGTCCTTTACAGCTTTGTATGCTGCTTGTAAGGCTTCTTTGCTATAAAGCTTTCTTTTCTTGATTGGTTTTCTAGCAGGACTAGTAACTCCTTTTCCTTTTTTGTTTGAGGGTGGCAAAACAACAGATAATTTTTTTTCTGGAGATCTTTTTGATCTTGAGGACTTCTTTACTTTCTGTGAAAAATAAATACAATAATTTGAAATGCAACAGACTTGCGTCTCCAGACCTTTGGGCTAGCATCTTGATACCCACCCTATTTACAAACTAACTAGGCCTATACAAAATATATTAACCAACTATATTAACTATTTTATATACACAACTTGCAAATGCATACCTAGCTAGCACCAATAATTATGTAGACTATTGATTGTTATCAGTATTACAGCATAACTGCTAACCATTTTATTAGCAAAGCAGCTTTTGACTAAAAATGTTAAGTTTACACCTAATTTACTACTTAATAAAGTGGCTACTCTGATTTCAGATTTGGCTAGGTACGTATTGCTAAAAAAAATCTCTAGTTTAGATGCATGCTAGACTACATGATGTGACAATGTGCCTTGAATTCTTTGCCTAACAACGTCAGCAGTAGAAATATGAAATATCAAGGTTTGAAGCTGATTGTGCTGTTAAAAGTTAGTTAATAAGAATGAACATAACCTAAAAAGTTTGGGGGGAATTTTTATACACGTGTCCGATATTAGAATCTTCTTTAAAAAAGGGGTATTAGATTACTGGTAGCTAGCTAAATACACACATTGCTGTTTAATGTCAATGCTTACCCTGTCCCTAACCCTAACCCCAAGCCAACCCTAGTCCTACCATACGCCTTACCCTAATTTCTAACCATAAAATTAGTCGAGATTACAATACTTTTTGAATACTACTAACAACCCAACACACCTATTTTATGGAAGAGTCTATTATCGGTATTTAAAATCATCCAAAGTTTTTTGTGAGAGCTGTTCAGTTTTGCTATAATTTTTAAAACCCCCTGAACACAGCATTTACTTAGATTTGGCACTCTGCACAGTGCACTGGATGGTTTGAAGTTTAAACAAACAGGTACCTTTCATCCCCATCCCTACCCCTAAACCCCACCCCCTATACTCATTAAGTAGTCATTAAGAGCTAAAGGTAAAAATTAAGTCAACTTACTGAACTTAGGTAAGTAATACTTAATAATACTAAATACTTATTTATCTTATTAACTTAACACTTCATTACTTACTCCTAAATTCTAAAGTCATATACATCTGGAGGTAAAATCTTAGTTTAGCGTCGTAAATTCGGCCAAAACTAGTAATGTAGGAGAGAGTGAATTAATGAATATGTCATTAAATATGAGTTTATTTTTGTATATTTTGATAAAATATTATAAATAATTGAATGATAAATCACCATTTATGGTTAAATCAATTTAAATATCCTGAAATTAATTTTTATCAACCCTGTTCGAGATAGTAAATTTGCTATTAAAAACAGCAGCCATCTTAAGAAAATGTTATTTAGAGTAGCTTCCCTTTCACTTCTATTCGTATGAAAATGTATTCAAATATGATTGTCTTGTTGAATAGTCCGTATTACAAAGCATTTTTTTTTTTTAATTCTGCTCTTTAAAAACTGAATTTCCTAACAAACAACTTTATTAATTCTAGAAGCATTGTGAGATGCAACTTGTATCAATGTATTAAATCACGTTTGTTTTTTTACTAATGTTTATTTGATCTTACTATTACTAGATCTATATTATAGTATATAGTTTGAGTTTTTCTTATTGTTTGAATGTTCACTATTTTCATTTCAGGTTTTTCTTTTCATCAATTAGTGATTCTATCGTAACTTATGAAATTTTTTTACTTCTCTTTACCTTAATTAAACCCAAACCTCCGTTATATTTTTGTTGTCAATGTCACAAGTCATAATGTAAAAAATTACGCTTCACTCTGCCTTATCTAAGATATCTAACCATAATTTTGACAACATTAAATGTTTGTCATCATTCATATATACAGGGAGACAAAATGTATTATCCACCAGCTTCCCTCTAAAACATCATCTAAAACAATCAGCCATTCCACCCCTTAAGTGCGTGTTGTCATTATGGTCGATCTCAAGTCTTCACCTGTCAGACACATTTTGGTTAGCTTTTTTTTTAGTAGTTAGGGGGGGATCATATCCCCCCCCCCATAGGCCCCTCGGTATATATATGAGAGGGGGGGGGTGCAAATCGAAAGTTTGAATGGGGGTGCAAATCAAAAGTCTGAGGGGGGTGCAAATCAAAAGGGGAGGGGGGTGCAAATCAAAAGTCTGAGGGAGGGTACAAATAGAAAGTTTGAGGGGGGTGCAAATCAAAAGTTTGTCCCCGGGTAAAAATTGGAACCCCCCCCCCTTGAGACGATCCTGGCTACGCCACTGTATCCTTTTTTGTCAAATTGTCAATATCAAGTACCCAAGTGAGTGATATGGGGTTGTCCATTAATGATGTCACATATGATTTGCTACGGGAGTGAGTGAAGATTTGTGACGTCAACTCAGGCGGCTCCGCAATTTATGACTTGTCGGTCTCATGAAAGGAGGTGAACGGGGAAAAATACCTAGGTGGTTGATGGAGAACCTCTATAATGCTTTGTTCAATCAAAATAACGATAAATAAGCATTAGTATACGTATACCTTGCTTAAAACGAATCATCACAAGTGTTGCAAGCCTGCTAGTTTAAGACATTTGGCAAAATGGCCTCAACATATTATCCCCGTCAAAAAGGCTTGCCACCAAATGCCTGCCGACGAATAAGCCTTGTCTAATGCGGGCGTTAGGAATACGGCCATTAGCATGGGCCGCGTTAGAGCACCACTAGGCTATCGCGCTTTGTAAGATGACGTAAATACTTAATTCAATTTCGCTAAACTGCGCGAAAATTTAGTAATGTTCCATCGTTTGAGGAAATTTATTTTCTTGGACTCAAATTGAAATATCATGTTGACTGTCTGGCTCTTAATTTCCGAATATCACTTTTAATGTATCAAGATTCAGAACTACAATGTACTTTAATATAAGTGTCATCTTATCGTTTATTGTGCTTTTTATAAAGCGCAGAGCAGCTTCAAAATCAGACGGCCATCCTGTTTTCACCAAGCTTCTTTTGGAGCTTAATATGGGTAGTCTAGTTCTATACGGTGAGAGCTTAATACATTTTTTAAGGGCCGAAAGTCTCAAGACAACAAGCTTGCAGAAATAACCACGTATGTTTAAATGGACGAGTGATAGATGAGTGAGGGGCTGTTTAATTGAACACCAACATAAGTAATCAAATTAAACGTCGAGTAAGCGTCAAAAAGGCAGTGTTGGTTGTTTTTTTTTTATAAAATTAGCCTAACGGTCGGCGGTACCGGTACATGACGTCACGTGCGAGCGTCAACTCGGTGAGGATGTGCTAAGTGGGGGAATGAAAAAGGTGGGGTTCAAGAAATGCGACTCAGCAAGCTTTTTACATTTCTTGACCCTTCTTAATAGTTCTATCGTCCCCACTGAGAAAATGGATCACCAATGAATGACGTGTCATACTTCTACAGCTGGTCTTTATCCCACAAACATCCCGTTTTCACGAAAAAAAAAACCCTGACCCGTCTCCAAAATCACATCGCTGAGTTCTACTCAACCTCTCCCCACCACAAATCACAATTTCTATCTGAAACAATATGTTCATATGTTTTTTCTGTAATAATGCACGCTGTCATTACTATCTTAAGAGCGACGTCATTTATGAGCGATCTAATATTAATTTGCTTACTGCAAATAAAGTGTTCAAAAGTTCGACCTCCCAACAATTGTTGTGGTCTTGGATGCACACTATTAAGTCTGAAAAGGTATATTAGTCATTCATGTCAACTATATTGAAAAAAAAAGAAAAATTACTATACAGGGGGTCATCCATAAATGACGTCACGCTTTTTTTTGACGATTTTTACCCCCCCCCTCCCCTCCGTCACATATCACAAAAAGCCAGACCCCCCCTAAAATGACGTCACACCTCAGCCTACAACCCCCCTTCAAATTTTGAATTTTTTTTAAACAGCTATATTTTCCAAAATCTTGTCTGAACTCTGTCAAAATAGAGTATTTTAATCAATTGTTATTACAATGTATTAAAACAGTTTTCCAAAACGCAAAATAACGTCTAAAATTCGTTTTCTAACATTGCTTTTTTATAATGCAAAAGTGTGACGTCGCACCATCTGAACCCCCCCCCCCCCTCATCACACACCGTCACAAAATTACGGACCCACCCCCCTCCCCCCTACGAGTGTGACGTCATTTATGGACGACCCCCGGGCATATATTAAAACAATACAAAACAATCATATTAAACCACAAAATCAACACAAAAGACATGCGAATAGACAATTATTCCAGGGAAACTACTCTATTATTGTTTTTGAAACATGGCCGCTGCTTGTATTTACTATTAAACTATTTACTCATTGTTGTCTCGAACGGGGTAGTTTAAAGTTTATTCCAGGATATTTATGACTGGTTTGGTTTGGATTGTGATTTGTTATTCAATTATCTGTTATATTATGTAAAATATGACATAAATAATTAAATATGGCCAAATGAAAGAAATATTCATTAGTTACCTTCATCGCACATTACTAGCTACGTTGGAATTTACGACGCTAAACTAAGATTTTACCCATCTGGATTCTAAATAATAAATGTTACTAAATACTAGACACACTAGGCCTATTGAAACTATTGATTAATTTTTAAATAAGCAGACTGTGCCAACTCTCACACTGCCCACTGGCCAACACAGAGACAGAGATTCTAGATTTAGCCTAGTGTTGAAATTATTTAATATTTAAACAGTATGAAAAATGTAGATCTAAATTAAAGTACCTTTGCTTTTTTGGATTTCATGGTAAAGGGTTATTTCTGATCCCAAGATGGTTTAGTTTAAACTTTCAAGTTTGACTGAAAACGTGCAGTGTTAAACAGTGTAGTGTTTGGTACCTACAAAAACAAGCAGTAAATTTTTAAAAACTGCATCTAAATACCAACAGCTGCCAACTAAATTCGCAAAATTTCTAAACCAACAAAAGACTTGTGTAATAAATATAGATAGGTCCAAAATCTTTTAAACACATAGTTTATAGATGTCTAGTAACCTATACCGACGGCCCCGAAAAAATAGCCCCGTCAAATAGACCCTCTCAAAAGGGCCAGCTACAAAATGTTAATGGACCCCGTCATGTAGACTACCGACAAATACGCTCCCAAGGTCTCCAGTCACTTAGCTTTCCAACTAAGCTCCGGTCATTTGGCTCTCTGCTATAGGGTTACCTGTAATAAGGGGTCATCCATAAATGACGTCACGCTTTTTTTTGACGATTTTTACCTCCCCCCCCCCCTCCCCTCCGTCACACGTCGTCACAAAAAGCCAGACCCCCCCCTAAAATGACGTCACACCTCAGCTTACAACCCCCCCCCCCCCTCAAAATTGCAGTTGAATTTTTTTTAAACATCGATATTTTTCCAAAATCTTGTCTAAACTATTACAATTTATTAAAACAGTTATCTAAAACGCAAAATAACGTCTAAAATTCGTTTTCTAGCATTGCTTTTTTATAATGCAAAAATGTGACGTCGCAACATCTGACCCCCCCCCCTCCCCCTCATCACACATCGTCACAAAATTACGGACCCCCCTCCCCCCTACGAGTGTGACGTCATTTATGGATGACCCCTAAGGCTCCTAATAAAATGGCTCCCGAAACTATTATTATAGAGATTATGACTCCCGACAAAAGGACTCCCTTAATACTGCTCCTTACATTAAGTCGCCCGGTGAAATGGTCATTTGAACGGGGGGGGGGGGGGGTATTCGTCGGGAGCTTTTTTTTTTCTAAAGCCAAAATGTCGGGAGCCTTATTTTCTTGCAACAAGCAGTCGCGATGTCCTTTTGGTGAGAGCTTTTTATGTCGGAAGTCCTTTAGTCTTAGTTCTATTGTCGGGGCTATTTGATGTGTCGGTGTTGTTTTGTTACGAGCAATTTTTAAGTCGCACTAAAATCCACATAATATGATTAACCAGAGGTAGTCCATTTAAATGTCCCACTCCTAAAAGAGTACAGGGGATTTTTCGGATCCTGACTTTGTGATAAAGTGCGTTATTTTTAAATTTTGATGTATTTTTGAAAATAATTTTAAAACTTATCTTTTGAAATTTTTAGAGCTGTAATGATGTCGGATTTTTTAAAAGATTAATTCAAATATAGGCATAAGTGTTAAAAGATACGTGAGGTCCGACTGGCAAGGTAACGTGTGGATCATTTATATCGGCACCTTTTTCAATGTACGGAAAATATTTTTTTTCTTGTATTTTACATAAATTTTAATAAAGTTTATTTAAATTTAATTTAGTAATACAATAACAAAATAAAGCAGAATGACTAAGTATCGTGTCATTTTGAGATCCATAAGAATTTAAAATTCCATTTTAAATATCAATGTCTTCGCGAGACGTCAAAATGGCCCCGTCAAAACAACTCCGACAAAGCAGCTACAACAAATGATCCAGTCAAAGTAGCCCCGTCAAAAGGGCCCCGACATATAGGCTCCCGGCAAATGGGCTCCCGACATTTAGGCTCCCGACAAATAGACTCACGACCTATTGGCTCCCGTCGAATCGGCTCCAGGCATATTGTCTCCCGATTAATAAATCGAATGACTACGACTTTCGACATAACCATTTTGTTCAACCAACCATCGCACAAAGTTCGACCTCCACTACCACTAATAATCTCTTTTAAAAGTCTAGTGAACAACTTTTTTCAAGAACTAACAGCAATTCATAAAAAATCGAGCTCACCAATCACCAATTTAAAAATCACCAATTTAAAAAATGTTGATGTTTTATTTAAAAACCGCGAAGAAAGGTTGTTTGGATGCGACATAAATTTAAAATGTGTGATGTAGGCCTACATGATGTTTAAAGGATAAAAGACGTTTTGTTTAGATAATCTACAAGCATACGGAAGATGGATTTTTCTCCCAACACACTGAGTTGGAACAGCACACAACCGACTTTTGATGGAAGTCATAGCTAGAAGACCTTTAAATTAAATAAGAAAACTACCTTTTTATACTTGATAAAATAATTTTAAAATAAGACCTGCCAAACAAGAGCTGCATGGTTGTATCATTTAAGGATGGCTAAGCTAACTGAAGTCAATTTATGAAGGGGTCCCACTGGCAGGTGTAATATTCATTGAGGTCGTTTCGCCAGGCGACCTGGTCTCTAGGGAAGCCATATTGAAAGGGACCCTTTTGTCGGGAGCCTAAATGACGGGAGCCTATTTGTCGGGATCGTAATGACTCGAGCCCTCTTGTCGGGAGCCTATATGACTGGAGCCTATTTGTCGGGAGCCGATATGACGAGAGCCCATCAGTGTTTCTTCCAGACTTTTTTCTCCGGGGGGAGGGGGCGTTTGATATTTGGGGGGGGGGGGCAGTCGACACTTTTCGGGGGGGGGGGCGGACACTAGTAAAAGTGTATGTTTACTATATAAATTCCATCTCGTTCGGGGGGTGGTAGACTTTCTTCAGGAGGGGGGGGGGGGGGCTCCGAAGAGATGCTAGAAAGAAATTCTGGAGGCCATTTGACGGGGTACATTTGTCGCCGGCCTTTTAGACAGGGTCGATTTGACGGGGCTCTTATGTAAGAGCCGTTTTGTCGGATTCGTTTTGACGGGGCCGTTTCGTCACTGGCCGTATCGAAGCCGCGTGTATGTGGCCCCTGGCTGATGGTTTGAGAAGCCAGTTTAATTATTAGGCCTATTATTTTTAATTTTATTAGGCCTATTAGGTGCCTATTATTATTAATTTTTACATATCTAGAAACCAAAGCCCGCAAAATGTTATTTTTATCTGGAAACATTTTTCTCCACAGAACATAACAATGTTTATAACAAATCCTGTGAAAATATCGCTTTAGAAGTTTATAATTAGAATCTAATAATATTAGTAAAAAAATTAGTAGATCTAGTAGATCTAATAGATTATAGTAGGCCTAACTGTACATGTATTAAGATTATTATATAGATTCTAGGTCTAGTCTCTAGACTAGATCTAGATCTTAAGAGTTAAGAAATCAAAATCAGTCTAGATCTAGAGATGATCTAGATCTAGACTAGTCACTAGATTCTATTTCTAGATCTACTAAAATCTAACTAAAAATAATAAAATAAGTAGGCCCTAACCTAATAAATTTATAATATTAATTAAACAGATCAAATAAAGTATTAAAATTTAAAAATAGTCTAAAGAAATAGTAAAAAATAGTCTATTTTTTATTTACGAAAGTGAAAGGGAAGGCTAGACCTAGATCTATGCTACCCACGGTGGTAATAAATTTTAATAAATTAAGTTTATTTATATAGTAATACAATCACAAAATAAAGCAGAATGAATAAGTATCAGATTTAGACTTTAGAGTAGCTTCTATAAAGTTCTAAGCCTTTTTTTTGGGGGGGGGGGGGGAATTAGACGTTCTACCATGGGGGAGGGGCGGATAGAAGAGAAACTCTTCACGCAAAACACTTATATTACATTCGACACATAATTTAGGCCGTAATGTCAGTATTTTTATTATGAGGTATCGATGACGTCATTTCTTTGAGGAGGGGGGAGGGGTCGGCATAGACGTTCTAACGGGAGTGGGGCTTTGCCAATGAGATGCATGAAAGAAACTCTTCACACAAAACACTTTAAAGATTAGACACATTAATTAGGCCGTAATGTCAGTGTTTTTATTATAGAGTATTGATGACGTCATTTCTTTTGAGGGGGGGGGGGGGCGGCATAAACATTCTTTCTGGGGGGTAGGGCTTTGCCCCTTACCCGAAGATTTGCATGAAAGAACCTCTGCACGCAAATCACTTTTAAAATTAGACAAAATTGGCTTTTTAATTAAATGTTTACTTGAGAATCAATGATGTCATATTACTCTCTGGCTTTAGACTATTTTCTACTATATTCTCCATATGACGTCACGTTTTGTTTTTTTAATTACTATGCATGTTTTTACTCTGCTTATGTTTTCTCAATAGCGTTCTTGACAGATAGATAGATAGATAAATACATAGACAGCGAAACTATTATTATAGATAGTGGCCTAAGTTCCTATAGGCTATAAACTTATACACTACTATATTATAACTACAGTACCACCCAGTACGCCCAAGGGCGTGGTGTATAAAAGCCTTGAGCGTATGTTAATCACTCTCTGTAATTGTGAAGTAGAACACACTTCTGCAACCGCCCAGTTGTTAGGGACGTAGCAGGGCGCTCTCGGGAGCCCCCAGTTATGCTACCTCATTATATGTCGTGTGCCACAGTGTCAATATTGTAGTTGTAGGGTGCTCCTTAATAGTAGCGCAGTCGCCATTGTCCTCATAGGGGATAGACCGGGGCGCCATCGGATGTGCCTGACTTTATTTAGTGAAGGACTATAATACACATCTTATCCATAGTCTATCTCACATTTTTAAATGAACGTAGCTACAACAGCGCCCAGGGGTAATGCTGGCATGCCTAATCCCACCCTACCAGACAGCTGCCCATACGAAATTGAATTTATTCAATTTGGAGTATTTTCATCAATTCCCCAAAGTTTCATGGCGATTGGATGAAAGGTGTAGCAATGCATAAAAGACAGACAGACAAACACACATACATTTCTTTATATATATATATATATATATATATATATATATATATATATATATATATATATATATATATATATATATATATATATATATATATGTTACGGTCAAAGCCCGAAGTCGGCCAATGCTAGGATTGGCCGGCCAATCCGCGCATTGGCCAATATCGCCTCCCATAGGTCGGTCAAAGTCCGAAACTTTGCTTGATTTCGGCCAAAGTCTGAAATTGCTCTTGATTTCGGCCTTTGGCCGGCCAGTCTGCGGACTGGCCATGGTGGACCGGCCAAAGTCTTAATTAGAAGATCATCTGGCTAGGGACGACAGGCCAAAGTCCGAATTAGAAGATCATGAGCAGATTTTGGGTTTTTTTTTCTGCCGTAATGATAATGAAATTAAGTCTTTATTGATTATTAATTAAAGTAAATGACAGAAACATTCAAATTTTTTATAGTACTATATAGCTGCTTGTTATTTTTACACTTGCAGCGATTTGTTGTGCACTTAGTTGTGCAATTGCAGCGAGTGTAGCCTTGCCCCCGAGTCAATGATTGTGAAGATGCGATGGTTCGTAGTGAATTTTCCTCAGTGCCAACTGACGACAATAAGAGCAGTTTTTCGTGAAGAATTGAAAACTCACTTCTAGCATACAGTTGTTTTAGAACACCATGTTCCGTTCCTAATTTGTAGAAACCGCCCTCGACGCTCATGACAACTGCAATCACGCTTCGGGGATCACCGTGACCTCTGTCAACATCTGGAAAACGGATGCGTACATTGTCACCCACCTCACCATCTTTAAATTTTGTATTTGATGTTTTAAGCATCTTAGCACCTTGAGTTTGCAAGCCAGTATGAGCTGCTGATCTGTGTTCCATGATATCTTGTTTGTTGTGACACAATCTGCAGGTAATGTTCCCTCCGTACCCTTCGTCTGCTTCATTGGGTATTCCACGAATAGCATGGACATCGTTGCCACAGGATCCACAAGAATGGGCTGCACTACAGTGTTTTTCACAAACTATACAGAATCTGTTGGCCACATTATTGTCACGCAACTGGTCTGGGCTTTCCGCCACGGCAGCAGATGTGTTAGCTGAGGATGTTGTTGCGTTTATGGCAACCTCCATTTCTTGTTCAATGTTCTCAAGATCTTCCTCAGTAACTATTTTATCGAGAGCCCATATATGGAAACTAACATGGATTTACATTTTTTTTTTACTTTGACAGCCATCTGCTATGTCTGTCTCATGGTCTGACGGCCCTTTTGATCCATGTCGCCTTGCATATAGAATGCTATACAAACAAGAGCTAAACAATATGTTACTCTCAATGAAAATGCACCCAGAATAATGAAAATGCGATCACAACTTAGTCTAGATAGAACATTGGCCAGGACATCCCGGCCAGTGCGCGCATTGGCCGGCCAATGTACAAAATACGCTGTCAAGTTTTAGCGCTTCGGACTTTGGCCAGTACGTCCTGGCCAGTGCGCGCATTGGCCGGCCAATGTACGAAATACGATCTTAGTGCTAAGTTCTTCGGGCTTTGGCCAAGAGAGCCGGCCAATGCGCAGATTGGCCGGCCAATCCGCGCTTTGGCCGCACTTCGGGCTTTGACAGTAACATATATATATATATATATATATATATATATCAATATATAGAGAGATATTTAGGCTATATAGTATATATACATATATAGGCATCCCTTCCTCCCTGCATGGGTATGGGCTGCTAAACAAAGAGTCCTCTGTCTTGTGCCATTTTCTCAACCTGACTCCAGGTCAAGACTCTTTTTGCACTTTCCTTGAGAGGCTCCACCTCAATTCCAGCCTGGTGATATTGGTTGGCAGTCTGCACAGTGTGTGTCATACCCAACTCCATCTTCTTTTTCCTAATTTCTTTTACAGTGGCAAATTGCCTTGTTATTTTCCATGTGAATGTTGGCCAGCAGATACTGAGTATTTGTCTGATATATATATATATATATATATATATATATATATATATATATATATATATATATATATATATATATATATATATATATATATATATATATATATATATATATATATATATATATATATATATATATAGTAGGCCTACATTTTTAAAAGCATTGAGATTTTCAAAAGTCTATAGGTAGACTAAAATCATGTAATTGCAAGATTATATTCATTTTCTAGTCAATAATTCTTCCTGTGCACAATGCAGTTGAGTGGCTGCCTGAATCCCTAGCTTCTGTGGAGAAACAAACTTATGAGGGACCAATAGAACTGAGTGTTTATGATGATGCTAGTTCTGTAAGTATAAAAGTTTATTCATTTATGTTTAGAAAATGTAGTTTGTAATTATTTTTTAGAAAAAAAAGCTGTTTAAAATAACTAACTTAATTCTGACTATTTTATTAACTCTAGTAAAATAAAAATTAAATAAAAGCTTGTAAAAACAAGTCAAGATTCCTCTTAAGGCCTAGCGATGTATTGGGCAGATGAAGTACAGTTCATGTTTTTTGGCCTCTGCATATGAAGGGATGGTGTGATCAGCTGTTACCTTTACTTTCTCCAATGTAAGTCAGGTACCTATCAGAGCTGGGTGGTCTCAGGGATGTTCTACAGTCACAAGTCAGAACAAAGATCTGAACTTGAATCATTTGGGCTAGCAGCCACTCTTTTATTACTAGGCTGGACCCTAAATTTCTAAATGGAACCAGATTCTTTAGTTATGACAAAAGATAGGTTTCAGGGTCAATGAAATATTACTACTATTAATACCATCAATTCAGATAAAGTGATGTGGTTGAGGGCAGAGTAATGGTTATCCTCATAAACGAGGATTGATTTCTGTCACCAGAAATGGTTGAATTTTACTATACTTGCACATCTCTGCATGAAGTAAAATAATAAAAGAGATATCTTAAGATCATTTAGAACTTGTGGAGAATGTAAGATTAATAACTTATTAACTATATCTGTGTTTTAAATAACCATGTGATGTAATATCTACCAAATTTTTATTTTTGAGTACAATGAATCTTATTAACAGGATGGAAGTAAAAATGTCCTTGATAACTGGTGGAGAAACCTAGAAAACACTCACTTGACACTAGTAGTATCTGGCCATGTCGGCTCTGCTTATGGTGGTAATTACATTTAAACTGCATGAATTTACTAACCTTCACCTAAAAGAGCAGTAATTTGTATAAAATATTTTAGTAACCTGTAACTTTTTTATCCCACCAGTCATTCGCTTTGTGAAACCTTTATATTCATTCTACAAGCTTTTTTTAAAAAAATGTAATACTTTTTTAAAAACCTTGTTTTTTTTTCTTTAACCTTAATTTTATTATCTAAATATTTCTTTGTGCCTGTGTGTATAAGAGGCTTTGGTGATAATTTGTTTTTTCAGTTGGTTATGCTAAGAACAAAGCTATATCTCAAAGCTCTGGGGAATACTTCTGTTTTTTAGATGCAGTTAGTAAACTTTCTCAATATCTTTTTGTCTGGCAATCAAAATAATAATAATAAAAAATAGTTTGATTTTGCTTGTCCTGATGTTGAAATATTTATATTCCATCATTAATTTCAACCATTAATTTTAGGCACATATAAAATTAAGATAAAATATGTCAGTTTTTTTCATTTTTGTGTTTATTAAACTTTTGTTTTAATTTAAAAATCAGGATGATGTAATGCATGAAGACAGAATAAAAGAGCAGATTAATGTTGCTTTGATTCATCCAGAGGCTGTAAGTTTGCATGTTTACAAAAATGTATTAACTATCTCTTTTGTTTTAGTTTTGCAAGCCATAAATAAAGTGTTATCCTTTTTCTAGATAGTTGGGTGTCAGTTTCACAGAAAGCCCTCTGAATCCACTTTACGCTATACACAGTGGGCTAATGGCCTTACTAGTGATCAGCTATACACACAGGTAAATATACTGTTTCATTTAATCATAAAGGTGCTTACTCTAATGAAGTCCTGATTCTAAAATTTAAATGTGAGCCATGACCTGTTACTTAAATGTAAATTTTTAAAAATAGAAAAGTGCTAAGAGTAATTTCAAGACTAGTAAAAGAACAGATAAAATAAGCTTCGGTGAATGCTCTGTGTCTCCATAAAATTTTCTAGTTGATTCAGCTTCCCTCTCCTAAGTGTAAGCTTGATGGACAAAGAACAACCTTGGAACTTAAGGTTTATAATATATACACAAACAAATGTATAATTCATTAAAGAAACAAAATCTATTTGTATAAAATATGTCAATATAACAAATCTTCCACAAAAATACAATGACATAGTTATTTGTTTTTAAGTCATCTAAAATAATGAAAGTGTCTTTTTTAATAGGCTTATCTATCTCATGGACCTACTGTGATTATGCCAACTTGGTTTTGTCATCGAAATGTTGTTAATAAAGTTGGTGGATTTGATGAAGGTGGGAAGGTAACAAGTTTTAAGTAAAAAGATTTAAGTATTGATTAACACTAACACTAATGGTACCTTATCATTTAAATTTAAAACAAAGCATATAACTTGTATAGTGTTTGTAGGCTTAAAATGCAGTTTCGGTGATGTCGGTGAATGGTGAATTGAGTTTTATTTAAATTCTTCTTCTTTATTCTGCAGGGAACACCTGAAGATTTAATTTTTTTTTACAAACATTTGGAACTGGGTGGAGAAATCATAAGAGTGGAGAAAGATTTACTCATGTATAGATACCACCCACAAGCTACAACATTTTCTATATCTGAGTAGGCTGAGGTCTTTATTGGGAGATATTTTTTGTTTAATTAATATGTTGTTAGCTCGTTCGTCAATTCAGTTCCAGGAAAATTAATTTTTATTATCTATAATTCTAGAAAAACAATTTGGGAACTTCGAGTCAGATTTTTAGAAAAACAGGTGCTAGACAAGTATCAATCATTTTCAATTTGGAATGCTGGGAAACAAGGACGAAAGTTTTATCGCTCTCTCTCCACAAATAACAAAAGAAAAGTAAGATATGTTTTGGACACTGTGCTTATAGTTTTATTTTTACAGATTTTTAATAGACAATCTTTTGTGTTTAAACAAGCCTGAATGTTTTGTATTTATAAAATGAATATTAAAAAGTAATTAAAAACTAGTGCATGTTTACTGTAACATCTAGTTGGTCTTTAACTTATTATTGGTAATGAGCAGCAAAGCCAGCTGGACAACAGGCACAAAAAAGAAATAATACATACATATATAAAAATAATTTTTTGTTTCCCTTTCCAAGTAACTCCTCTTGTCCTTGCTGTTTCCCTTGACTAACGCAACTTAGCCAATTATTATATTGGACTAAAATGTACTATTGTTTTATTTCAGGTTTCTATGTTTTGTGATGTTGATGTAAAGAAGCTTACTAAAAATTATTACATCTATGAAGAAAGTAAGGTTAGAAAAATATTATTACATCTATGAAGAAAGTAAGGTTAGAAAAATATTAAACTATCCTTGTAAAAACAAGCATAACCAATCTAAAAGTTACTTATGTAGGATACATAAGAATTTGCATAGCTTGGGTTGCTTAATCAGTAATATGTAAGTAGATTCTCTATTGTTCAATTTTGTTAGAACTAACATCAATAATACAATTGAGCTAATAAATATTTTGTTAAGGCTAAATAACTGTAAGATAGATATTTGCATTACTATGCTTCATCAATTAAAAAATGCCAAATAAATATGTTTACATTTTTTTTAACAGGAAGTGCCAAAACCTAAGGTACCAATAGTCCATTTTACACAAGTGAAACTTCCTGTTATTTTATGTGTGAAGCTGGTTAGTATTTAGATCTACAGATTTTAACTTATTATTATTAAATGACATTGCTTTATTAATCTAAATTTGCTACTTCAGCTTTTGAATAATGATTAGAAATGTGATATTAATGTACATACATATCACTTTATTGTAGACCTAAATGTGTTATATGATAATTTATAAGACAAATTTTAATGGATGCCAGCGAGAAAAGTCTCAAAGGTATTTGAGAGGCCCATAAATTAATTTAAAAATCATGCATGGCGTAGTTACAATTAATTTGGTTATAAAATCCTGTCTCTCTGGGTTTTTTCGGACTTTACTTAAGATTGGATGTATTTGATGTTTTTAATATTTTCGGTAACTGAATAAAAAAAAAAAAAGCAAAAACAATTTGGTTTCCACGTTTAATGGCGACATAAACAATGGCATCCTGCTATTCAATAGGCCGCCATAAATTTTATTGTACATATTGAAAGCTAAAAAAAGAAAAACTAGGTCATGGGGTTTAAATTTGCATTGCTATTTAAAAACTTGATCTGCAAAGTTTTGTAAACAAAAAGACTATAAAGTGGGGCTGTCAGAAATCGATCACGGAGTTCCTGTACAGCCAATCAATGTTTGTCTTACGAAAGTGAAACATCGGGTTATAACTTAGGCTTGATGAAAATAAATAGCTTTAAATTCAACAAATTTTCGAGTTCTATGGGATCTGCAACTTTTATAGCATGGATTCTAAAAATATTAAATTTCTGAATTAATTTTAGGCTTAAGTTTTTATTTTTTATTATTTTTACGGTCCTAAATCTAAAAAAGCACATTTTTATTCCATGTCAACAACATTACGGAAGGATTCTCGTCAACTCGCTGGTGTCCATTACATAAGAAAGAAATATTTATCATCATGTATTCTTCAATGCAAAATATCTGTTACTGACTTTTCTTTATTTAGCAGAAGAATTATTTTGTACACATTATTGTTATTTAACAATTAAACCTTCACTGCTTTACAGTATTAGTTTGTATAGAATTCAATTTTAAATAACTGATACTTTGTACATTTCAGAATTTATCTGGAAATTTTGAACAGAATCTGAAAAGTTTACGTCTAAAAGAAGGCAGAGATTATATTCATTTTAATTAGCTTATCTTATTAAAGCCAATTTAAAAGCTACTTTGTTTTTAAAGTTATTATTTAATGTTTTTGTGCTCTTTTCTTTGTCTAATGGATTTTAAAGTTTCTCAAAATTTTCTTAAAATGCAGATAGTCACTGCTTACGTTTATTTATAATATATATTTCACAGTTCATTAATTAAAATTACTCTTACACTTGAAATTATACTTTAAATGTTTTTAAATATTTAAAGTTATTTTAATGTTAGAATTTTAAAGTTAGATTTACCCTGAATTATTCTTAACATACTAATTTAATTCTCCAGTTTAAAGAGAATAACAATATTTTTAAATGCTGTTAAAGTATGTCGTCAATTTTCAATGGTTTCAGCTTATTCAGGTCAAATACAGCAAACTGCAGTGATGTAATTATTACATTTAAAATATACTGATTGGTGAATTTATAAATAATCTTCATACCCAGCCATCTTCTCTTGATGTTATTTGGTATCCATCAGAGCAGAGTGGACTCAAGGCCTGGGATTACCTAGGGAATAATATTTCCTTTTTAGTTTTTAGCAACTGAGCTTTTTTTCCCCACTAAATATGACTAGCTAGATTAATAAGCTATCCTCATTTTTGACACCAGAGAAAGTTAAAAGAAATGTATAAATTGCCTAGTCTGTTAGATTTATATTTAATATAATATAAGCAAATAGAAACTACTTAGATTCTAGTTATGAGAAAATTGGATAACAATAAATAATGATTACTAAAATTAAGTTACAGTACAAACAAGCTGTGAATAGCAAGAATTCAATTTTCATATTTGTTTTAAAATGTGTTTGTTTAATTTTTTTGATTTCGGTAATTACAAAGTTCTAATCGACTTTTCTGCTCAGAGTTACCAGTCGGTAGATTATCCTAAGATGCAAAAGACGATGATAATGTGAATTATTTTAGAACTAGATTCGGATTCTACTACCGGGTTTGTTTTGAGAAATTGTTGGACAGTGAAGTGTAGTGTGTGAAAATGGTAAGAATAGAAATATATCTGTAGGCCTATATTAAATATATATATATCTCTCTACGACTCTACGAGTCTCTAGCCTACATTTATTTTTGTTTATAGTGCTGCTAGTGCGTCCTAAAAGTTGAAAGCAGGGTTTTCAATTTTCATGCTACAGTTCAGAAGTTGTTGCAGTAGTGCAGCAGTAGCCTTGAGTAGCAAATTCACAATCAACAATGTATTTAATTTAGCGAAGTGACTACTGGGAAGAAGATTTGGTAATCCCTTAGTTTAGCGTCGGAAATTATTGGGTAATGTTTGTTGAGTCTCGGTAATTAGAGTTACGGTAAACCATGGTTTATTTGACCATTGAAATATAAATAAATTGAAAGTCGATTGTAGTAAATTAATGTTTTAATTTTTTAAGTTTAATCGACAAAAGGAAACAAGAATAAATATAATAGTAGATTTAAATTAGTAGATCTAAAAATAAAAAATAAAAACAGATCTATATTAATATAAATATAAATAATGAAGTCAAATGTAGGCTAATAATTTAATGTTTTTTGCTTGTAGCGGATTTGCTACCATTAATTAATTAGATCTAGATCTAGCTAGATATCTAGCTGCTAGGCCAAGTAAAAAAATCTAGATTACGAAAATAGTAAAAATGATTACAAAATGTAAAAATGATTACAAAAATAAATCTATCTAAATTTTAAACATTCTGTATAAAAATAAAAGATGACACCAAATAAAGTATGGTTTACAGTACTTCCGGTGAATTCCGGAAGTGTGTGACAGACTTTGGCATTCTTTTACTGTTTTTTACTGCTATACGATTCCGGAATAATAACCGACGCTAAACTAAGGGATTACCGAAGATTTTCTGGTAATCCCTTAGTTTAGCGTCGGTTATTATTCCGGAATCGTATAGCAGTAAAAAACAGTAAAACAAAGCCAAAGTCTGTCACACACTTCCGGAATTCACCGGAAGTACTGTAAACCATACTTTATTTGGCGTCATCTTTTATTTTTATACAGAATGTTTAAATTTTGGATAGATTTATTTTTGTAATCATTTTTACATTTTGTAATCATTTTTACTATTTTCGTAATCTAGATTTTTTTACTTGGTCTAGCAGCTAGATATCTAGCTAGATCTAGATCTAATTAATTAATGGTCGCAAATCCGCTGCAAGCCAAAAACATTAAATTATTACATTTGACTTCATTATTTATATTTATATTAATATATGGGTTTTTTTTATTTTTAGATCTACTAATTTAAATCTACTATTATATTTATTCTTGTTTCCTTTAGTCGATTAAACTTAAAAAATTAAAACATTAATTTACTACAATCGACTTTCAATTTATTTATATTTCAATGGTCAAATAAACCATAGTTTACCGTAACTCTAGTTACCGAAACTCAACAAACATTACCCGATAATTTCCGACGCTAAACTAAGGGATTACCGATTTTCTCCCCAAAGTCTCCACTTAGTCAGCAAAAGATAGCTCTGCGCATGCGCAGTGACCTATGGCTAGGGATAGGATTAGGGTTGGTTAGGGTTCTGCGGGCGCAGTACCATCGAAAACATCGGCGCGATGGCAAGTCGTAGTTTCTCTCCATTGCACATGCGTATCTTTTTCGGGCAAGCATCGGCCTTCATTTAATGTAATATCAAGTGTTAAGTTAAGGTACAAATATTTTAAAAATTGTTAAAATACCTAATCAAGTAGTTGAAGTAGGCCTATCAAAATCTGAAGGACCCAGGCATCAGTCATGTCACAGAAACTGCTGAAATAAAACTGTTATAATGATAATCTCATCACTTAAAACTTAAAATAATAATAATATTACTATCTTATAATATAAAGTTATATTATAGACTAATAGTAATTAGACAGTTAGGCCTAAGGAGAACCTACTCTTGTTTAATTTAATTAGGAGTATCCTATCTTAGACTGGTTACTATCCATCTTCAGCTAACAAGCCTCATCTTACCTTGCTAGAGGTTGGAACTTATAGTATAATATCAAACGCTAACATGATAAACTCCATTTCTGACACACAAAATACACACTGGTCAGTTAGTTAGTAGTACTGAATAGTATTACTAGTATAGGCCTAGAGCTCAACTGCTAACCTGTAAGTCTCAAGTTTGTATCCAGGTTCAAGCAAGTAGACCGTGCCTGAGTCCACCCAGCTCTGATGGGTACCTAATGCATGTTAGGGAAAGCAAAGGCAGCTGGGCATAGGGCTAACTACACTATCCATCCCTTCATATGCAGAGCTCCAAGAAACCGATGAACTCTACTTAACTTGCCCCATAGACTGTCAGATTTGGAAGGGGAACTTTACTTTTATGTTATAATACATCTGTACTTAATTTCAGTATTTCTGAATCATGAAAAAATTTGACATTTTTGTGCTAGCTTTTAGTAAAGATTCATAAGGTTTTATAAGTATATTAAAATTAAACTCTTTTCAATCAATATATTACCATCACACAATTATAATTATTAATTATAATACTATAATGCACAATGTTTTCTATATTACAATTGTTACAATACCCCATTTAACAAAAGAAAAATTAATTTTGATCTTGATTTGAAAATGTAATCAACAACTTTCAACTATTGTAATAATCAAGTTATTAATTAATGTTTACTTTCAGTCTAACATTGATGAATCATTGCGTGCACTTGAGGGTCTAATGAATGAGTTTTTTGCACCAAGCACTAGTAATGACAGAAAAAAAGAAATAGGTAAACTATGAATATTTTTATTTAAATAGTGAATTTGCTTTATTTAGCTTGTTTTTTTTAAAAGTTAATGAAGGAGAAAATCATAAAATTTAAATATTTTTTTTATATTATTGCAATAATGCTCATGCATTAAATAATAGACTTAGACTAATAATTCTGATGATTTAAGGATTTTTTGTCCCCTTTATTTTTTTTATCAGAATCAATTTTGACCAACTTCACACAGATGTCAAATTCATGGGAAATGTGCCTGTATTTTTTGAGCAATACTCAAAATGAATATGTAATGATGTTTTGCTTAAATGTGCAAGAGGTTTGTCTTCTAGCCTAAATAACTTTAGTTCATTATGTAGATTCATTAAATAATATCATAAATTTAGCATCTGTCTTTTTTAGTTTCTTTTTACAAAACAATATCAAGAACATTTAAATTGTTTAATTTTCAGACACTTATTAGTCATAAATGGACAAACCTAGCTGCAAATAATAAAATAGAAATAAGGACTCATCTTACACAGTCACTCCTGAACCAGCATACCACTGTGCCCCCCTATATACGTAACAAACTGGCCAAACTTATTGTTGACATAGGGCGTAATGATTGGCCTCATTTTTATCCAGACTTTTTTTCCAACATTCTTCAGGTATGTTGTGGTTATTACTCTTATGGTAAAATCTGTGCAGATTATTTAGTTGCAAGATCTGACTTTGAATTTAAATAATAATAAATTACTAAAAAAAAATATTTATGAGCAGAATTAATTTATTGACCAACCTTATGTCAGTGATAATTACTTTTTTAATTGTATATGTTCATAGCTAGCACAGCAACCCGATACAGCACTGCTGGGTATAATTCTACTGCAGACTGCATCTGAAGAACTGGCTTCTCCAAGAGATGACTTAAGCATGGCAAGAAAAGAAGAACTTCATCGCCTACTCCTTCAGCAAGTTCCATCTATTCTTAGTATTTTAAACAGTAAGTGCTGGCTGGGCATAGCATGTGCAACCATATTTTGTTTACGTAAATAAATGCATGTGGCTTGGCTATTTCCATTGATGGCTGAAAAATTGTCATTCTTTCTAGATATTTTTGAGAATATGCTTGAAAAACACCGGCATCTTGTAGCAGCGACACCTCCTCCCTCACCAACATCTGGTGAAAATAGATCATCGCGCCAGTCTAGCAGTCAGTTGTTTTCAACATCTCCTATTGCAAATGGTAAGTGGTGAAAATAATTAAGAAGCTGTTTTAAAGATATTTGTTAAATCAAGAAAGTATTATATTATCACCTTTGAAGTCAGTAACACATCTGTAATTTCAACTTAGAGTGTATTTAATCAATCAAGCGAATATTTTTCTTGTTTAAGCATAAAGTACTATGATCTTGATTATCGAAAAAAGTGTGTAACAAATTTTGCCCAATTTTTTTTTTCAGCTAACTTTGTTTCACTGTTGTTGGGCAGTCCAAGTCGAGGTCCACAAATGGAAGCTCTTCCCCCTCTTGATCCTGCATCGCAGCAGTTATGCTGGGCAGGCCTCACCTGCTTAGCACATTTTTTGTGCTGGGTGCCTTTATCAACAGTTGTTCGACCCCAACTTCTCTCCACAATATTTCACTTTGCAGCATTTGGTTGCCAGAAAAGACCAGATTATAATGACTCAAGCCCCACTTCAAGGAGCAGTGCATTTAGTAGCAGTACACATAAGCTAGGTAGGTGTTTATTCTTTCTTTTGTTTTTAAACTTTTGCAGTGAATCATTATTGTATATATCTGTTTATTTTTTTCTAAGAGCTTTAATATGATAGCACATTAAATTTTCTAATAGAATTTTTTATTAAAAAAAGTTTTTGTATTTTATTACCAGGAACCTTAATATTTTTTGTTTGGGCTACTGCTTTTTCTAAATAGGTGTCTTAGCAATGAATTGTATCAATGAAATTCTAAGCAAAAACTGTGTACCCCAAGAATTTGAAGACTTCTTGCTGCAGATGTTTCAACAAACATTTCATCTGCTTCAGAAAATAACAAAAGAAAGCAATACAAACTCATCTGGCAATAGACTAGAAGAATTGGATGAAGTGTAAGAGCTCTCACTTCTTCATTTACAGTATTATTGGTTATAACTGAACATTTTAAAAGCAAACTAAAGATATAACTTTAACTTGAAAACCCATATTTGTGAGGATAACATCCTGTTATTGATTCTATATGACCATTTTAGAATCCTCACTTTTAAAAAACAGTTTTGACTGGGTAAAATTTCTGATGTTTTTTTTCTACAGATATGTTGACAAGTTTACAGACTTTTTAGGACTTTTTGTTAGTGTTCACCTGAGAAGATTTGAATCAAATCCTCAGTTTCCAGTTTTGGAATTTTTGTCTTTGTTGTTTAAATACACATTCAGACAGGTAGTTTCTGTTTTTATCACATCAGTAGGTTCTAGACATTCAAATATCTTTGTCCTGTAGCTGGATTAATTTTGTTTTCATGTAATTTTTAAGTCATCAAGAAAAAAAATTCAAATATCTACCTAGCTCTAATTAATGGTTTTGACTAAATTGATTAAAGCAAGATGTGAAATAGAATCACATAAATTTGTTGGTGATGTAACACTTTTTTTATCAACCACTTCATGATTATTTTTACACAGCCTACTACCGAAGGATATTACAGTTGCTTAGACATATGGATTACATTTTTAGATTATTTAAACAACAAACTTGAGTCACGTTCAATGACAAAAGAAGATATTTATTTGAGGTATGATATAACCCTGCTATAAGTCATTAATTGGTTTTTCTGATAAAAAATGTTTTACAAAAACAACCAGATGATATTTTATAGGAAGAGTTTCAGTCATATAGTAAATTCCTATTATTATCTATTTCTCATAAGCATCTTTTCTATTCCTACAGGTACAAAGAAGCCTTAACTACATTACTTTCTAGTATCTTACAGAAATTTCAATTCAGATTCAATCAGTCTCAGTTAGAGGAACTAGATGACGACACATTAGATGATGATGTAATATTTCTTTAATGTTTTCATTGCTAATTATTTTGATCCTATTAAATTAAGATCTTCATTTGTTTTTGTAATGAACAAATTTGATTTTTAATTGTAAGTTATAAAAGTGTACTTTATAAAAATTGTATCACTGTCTTGCATAAATTTCAAAATTTATTTTAAGTTTCTTTTTTATACTTATAGGAAGAAACTGATTGGCAACATTTTCTTCGACAAAATTTAGAAGTTGTTGCTAAGGTTGCTGAATTCATGACCCCTGAGGTTTTCCAACTTGTGGTAAGTCGATGTAATCTGACAGCTTATTGTTTTAGTTTAACAATACAGTATGTGTGTGTGAGAGAAATGTGCCTTCCTGCTTACTATAATCACTATATCTTTACAAATTTCTCAGTGGGATCCCTTCCAAGATCATGTTGAGACTTATCTGGGTATAGAAAAGTTTGTTGACAGTCCTGGATTTGAGAGGAGATTACGTGTTTCTGCTGAAAATGACTGTAGGCGGCTTCATTGTGCTCTGAGAGATCTCTCATCCCTGCTGCAAGCATTGGGAAGATTAGCTGTGCATTTTACAGGCGAACACTTCGTTTCCAGATTTAGTAATGCCATGCAGATCATTTCAAGGTCATCACTGGTTTGTTTCTTTATATTTTAAAATAACACATTTCATAATTGAACATTTCATAATTGAAAGTTCTATGTTGTTAAAGTAAGCCTGAATCAAAAATAATAATAAAAATAACAGTGCAGTTAACATCTTAAGAATCTAGACTATAATAACAATGTAAACCTTAAGCATTTATGATTCTGGATTGAAAGTTGGATTTTGTTAAGGCATTATGTTTAATAAATTCTATAATTTACTATAACGCTCACTTTTAGGCTGGTACATATTACCTCTTATGGAAGTAGAATCAAGTTTTTTGAAGTAACCACGTCTGCTGGAGTATTACAACAGGATTTCATAGAAGTGTAAGAACATGCTTTAAGTTTCCATTGACCTAAGATTTGACTTTAGTAAACCTAAGTTTTATTGCTGAATTCTGTGCTTTAAATAATACATTTGTACATTTATTCTTAATCCAGACATGCCCAGTCACTTGCGGCCATCAAGGCTTATACACACTGGATGTCACAGTTTTACCTGGAGAGTTTACGAACTGATCAACAAAAAGATGAATTTCACGCAATTATTGTTACTATACTAGATGCCATAGCTCCACTAATAAATAAACAGGTTGGGAAAACTTATCATTTAAAAATGAATGAATTTAATAAGATGTATAAATAACTTGATGAAATTTTGAAAACTCTTCTACAGGTACCTGATAAGGTAATCCAGTCAGCAGCTCATCTGCTTCTGTCAATTACAAACACAGTTCGTCCAGCTTTTCTACTGCAAGTTCCATCTGTTGTTTCTTTGTATACCCTAGCTAGTCAGGGCGAATTTCAAAGTTTAGCTCAAGATGTATGTTGAAACTCTTTGTAATTATTTTTTAAATATATATAATTATAATCTGTATTTGAATGAGAGTTGCTGGAAATTGACTTTTAAATTGATTGGATACCATCTTTGGGATGAGAAAAATATTTTATTTACTATATTTTTTCTTGTCTTTGTATTCAAGTTCTACATTTTAATGATTAAATATATGTTTAAAAATCTTCAGGTGCAGTTACTTTTGTATCGTTCTCTTTCCCATTATCTCCTGTTACCATGGCCAAATGTGGGAAAAGATGAACAAGATTGGGACAAAAGGGCGGCGCACCACAAGATGCTTGTGGCCCAGTTAACATCACAATTTGTTCGCTTAGGCAATCTTCCTGAGTTATCTTCAGCAACAGTAGCCCATGAACAAGGTATTAACTCTGGTTGGATCCTCAGTTTATATAAAGATTATATGTTTATGTATTGGTCCTTTTTAACCCTGCTGGCAACTCAAATCACCCAATCTTAAAATCCAATAAGAATGATGACAATTTTAAACACCATTCAAATTCTTTTAGAAAAGTGAATACTTGAAAAATCATTTACAAATGATGTTTATTTTAGAAAGAACATCACAATTAAAGTTGTAATGTGTGTATGTATATATATATATATATATATATATATATATATATATATATATATATATATATATATATATATATATATATATATATATATATATATTTATTTATTTATTAGTGGAAGTTCATTTTTGTTAAATCTCATGTCTGCTGCATTTTCTATTTTAGCTAAAGAAGTGATCAAGAAGACTTTGATTATCTGCCAAGACTGGGTGGAAACTCTAGCAGGTGAAATCGTCAAGTCCAAACAGATATGTTGTCAGTCCCTAGAGGAAGTGACGCAGACAACTCTAACAATATTCCCAATGTACGTCCATGATGTGGATGTAGTTGATAATATCATGACCTACTTTCTGGCCATGTTTCAGGGCTTACGAGTGCAGATGGGTGTAGCATTTACAGAAAAAATTATTCACACTTTTATGAATGTATTTTCAAGGTAGGTGTACCTATAAAAATAATTATATTTGAATGTAATAATACCAATTATCTTTTATTTATACATGATGTATACATTTTGGGTGTAAAGCATTAGTTTTAAAGTTAATATAATTTTAATAAATATATATATAAATAAATAAATGAATTCTTAATACTTTTAGAGAGCTGTTGGTTCACACAATTCATCAAGAAACTAGTGGTGCCTTCAGAGTTATTGAGAAGTGAGAAATTATCATTTTGTTCTACAACCATTTGTTATTACATTTTTAGGAATAGAAAGCTACTTACCTAATTTCTTCTACATTAGCTGCTGTAATTGAAAATTTTTGTATAATCCTTGCTGAGACTCATATTTTTCCCTTACAGTTTCTTAAAAATTCTTGAACTGATAGTTCAAGAACCTGGAGGACAATTTAAAGTTTTTCTTCCACAAATTATTTCAATAGCCATGGACCAGATTTACCCTATAGTAGCACCAGTAAGTTTATTTTAACATTTAAAAAAATATAATGCTCCACTAGTATTTTTAAAGTTTTTTTCTATTCAGTATAATGAATCTGATTAGTTTACATAATAATTCAGGTATTTTCCTTGTTCTCATAGCGCCCAAGTCCTGATATGAAATTTGCACTGTATCATTTGCTGCATGAAATCCTCTCACATAACTGGAGATATTTCTTCAGATGTTCAGTTTTAGATGTAATTAAGGAATCAGGAGATGGACTAGAAAATAGTGAACAGTTTACATCTATATTGCAGGTAATTAATTCACACTATAAATAGTATAAATTAATATCTAATTTACAGGAAAAATTGCTAGTGTATTTGCTGCCATTCGTAATAACTTATCTTGTACTTCAAATATTTTTAGGCATATGGACAGTCCTTTCTTCAAACAGACATAAGCATTTTTAGACAAAACCTGGAATCTCTTGAAAACTTGCATTTTAAATGGAAATTGTATAATAAAGTGAGTCAGTAAACATTAAAATGCTTTACTCGTTAAATATTTTTTATATGAATAATAAAAAGGAAAAATGTAATTAAAAGACCTGGAAAGATTATTTATAAGTTTATTACTGCATGAAAGGTTTTAACCACCTTATTTCCACACACATTTTATCTTCTACTAGCAAATATTTAGTGAAGTCATGAGCCACCAGTTTCTCAAGGTTTTGCTGCAAGTATTAATTAACAAATCTCACGACCTACTACAAGAGGAAATAGTCATATCTGTTTACAACATGGCAGCTGTAGACTTTGATGCATTTTTTGGGAAGTTTTTGCCAGAATTTTTGGCATCTGTTGATGGCATTGATAATAGTCAAAAGTCAGTGCTAGCAAAAAACTTCAAAATTGACAGAGTAAGTTTTAATCACTATAATGTAAAACATAGAAAATGTTTTTAAATTAAAAAAAAAAACCAAGCATGTGTTTGTATGTCTTGCAGTTTGATTATGGTTTTGTTAGCTGAAAAATATATACAATTGTTTTCTCGTGTATGTAACAAACTCTTTTGATAACTTATTAAATTATTGCCTTGAAAATAGTTCTAACATCTCAATAGTAACTGAAAAATTAAAATTTGTACCTTGCAAATAAAGAAACTAGGATGTTTTTCACGTTAGTTTTCAATTCCGTAGAAATTATTTAATGTTTAACAGATTTGGTGATAAAATCAACTGATTTGTTTCAGTATAAAATAAACAAAGATAAACTTTGTTACAATAGCCAATTGTAGTTGATCATGAGTTAATTTATTAAAATGTTTGTGATTTGGTAAATGGCAAATTTTAAACTTTAGCATGTCCATTTCTTATGTGCCTCTTCTATCTTCTTTATAGAAATAACTTTGTTTTCTATTATTACAGGATCTCCCTTCATTTACACAAACAGTGGAAAGATTTGTTAATGATATTCGCTACTACTCGCTGATCAACAGTAGTTTACCCGCAGGTTCTGTTTCACTTGTTTGATATTCCTTTTGACAAGTTCATTATTTATGGCCATCGGCACTTTGCACCTATTTATGCTCCCAACTGCTAGAACTGGGGATATCTGGTACCATAAAAGTATATGATTATGATGTAAGGAATTGCTTCACAGGAACCAGTTTTAAAACAATTGTTTAAAGCTCCATTGATTTATGATAAAAAGGTTTTTGTAAAGAGATCAGTTATAACAGCTTAGGTTAATTGCATCTTTTAACATCACTTGAGTTTTAGAGACATTAGTTTTATATTGCAAATCGTGGATTCCCAAGAAAAAAAGCAAATAAATGGCATTCAACTTTAATAGTAGTGTGTTTCATTTGATTTATTTAAAGTACTATGCATTTGGTGTTTCACCATAACAGAGGACATACAAACAACTGCTTGCCATTGATATATTAATCTGAACACATGCATTATTAAAATAATTGTAACCTATTATAATCTTTTAGTTACTACCATATAACAGTGGTATTGTTACTATGTCTGTCCATTGCAGTATTTTTTTTTTAAAAGAGCATGCATTTTGGATTTTAAAATTTCAAACTTCTGCATTCAGTTAGGTCCTGTATTTATAGTTTTTGCAACTATTTGAGTTCCATTTTACTTCTGGACATGACTTGTTACTAAATCATTGTAAAGTTTGTATTGTTAAATACTTTTCTATTTTAGCACTATGAGATTTATACTAAATTCAATTCTCTATGCTCAAAGGCTATACAATCATAATATTAATAAATATCCATCAATTCTAATGCAGGATATTATTAAAAAATCAAAATAGAATTCAAATTGTTAAAGTTGCTTATTTTGTTCATTGTAAAAAGTGTGCCAAGTTCTGTTGAAATAAATTTATTTATATCAAAATACAATGACTTTTTTTCTTAAATGATCAGGTGATACAGTTATTAAAGGAGTTTTTTTTAAAAAACATTTGTTAATAACTAGATCTTGTGATTTTTTGTTTGATGAGAGGCAAAAGATTGTAACCTCTAAAGTAAAGGCTCTTACTTACACACAGACCTAAAATAAACATGAAAAAAAATACCCACTAAAAAAAACTCAATTTAAAAGAGAAACAAATAAAGAAAAATCAGAAGCAAATGTTTTATTTAAAGATCAGTTGGGTACAATTTAATACATTAGCAAGCTTTCATTCATAGACCATCATAATGGACAGAAAATGAGGGACACAGTAAAGTGACAGATTTTAAAATAAATTCAAATGGATATGGAAATAATTGGTCCAAAATTCAAAGCCTTGCTATACATTGGTTGACTACTTCCCCTGATGTATTATTAAGTTTACTATCTATTTACAAAACATACTTCCATCTGTACTGAAAATAAGTATACACACAAAATAAGCTTGGCTTTTTACACAAAACAAAATCATGAATGTTAAGATTAACCAGAGCAACCTCTGCAACCACAGTGTATGCACTCCACAATTTTACCCTGAAACAAAAATTTCAGAAACAGTTAATTCATCTTAAAAAACAAAGCTTTTTAGTTTTTTAAAATAAAACACTTCTTATTAAAAATTCATTAATAGGACTAAGATTATTTTTATGCAATCAGGCCATCATATTATTATTAGAGCTTAAATTACTGGGTTTTTTTTTTTAAACTCTACATCCTATTTAAATTTAAACAGATAAATACAAATTTAATACTAATGTATTCAAGAATAATTACCGATTCAAGTTTGGATCTTGGAACTCTACAAATGCAGTTGGCACCAAAGTTGGTATCCCTAACTTGGATACATCTTAAGCAACAGAGATTCTCATAACCTTGTTTTTTCCATTTAGCAATCAGGTTCTTGTCGGCTATGTTTTCTTTGAGACAGTACTCATAGAGCTCTTGAAAAAAAAACATGATTAGTTTACCATTTGCATACGTAATGTTTCATCAAAACTTCCAAGAACAAAATTTTTTAGCTGAGATTTTTGCTTGAATTTATTAAAGTAGTACATAAATTATTTAAAATAAATTTTTACTTACCTCTACTGATAGCCTTTCTGCGATAAAACAAATCATAAATATATCTGGACTTTTGATGGTGGAGTCTGAAAATAGGCCAGAGAGCTTCAACCTTTCTTTTACCTTCATGAGGCTCAGTTTCAGCTGAGGAAAAGAAAATGTATAATTTATATTAGGTTCTCTCTAAGATGAAAGAAAACACTGCTAGTCTCATTATTTTGTATAGGAGACTATAGTGACTATGTAGTTCTACCAGATAATTGCTAGATTATTTTTGGGATTTTAAAGTGATGGATAGCACATTTTTTAAACTGAACAGTCTGCTTAGATATAATGTTAACCCAATATTGTGCTTGTTTCTTAAAATTATTATAATATATTCAATAGCTGAGAAACCACCAACATTTTACAGAATATACTAACACCCATCACCATTATCACGGTTAGTGTTGGAAAGTGACAGTTTCTTCAATTTTCTGAAAGCTACTGCCTGAGTGCTTGGATTAGGCCATTGGTGGGGACATAGACACCAGTATTTTTAAAGAGGTTGAGACATTTTAGTCAGACTTTGTCTACATTTTAAATATGCTGCGTTATCAGTATCCATTCAACCATGTCATGGATCTTGATAAAATGGGAGAGAGAAGTGAAATAGCAAGGCAGTTAAATGCGAGAAGGGTGCGAAAACAGCCTGCCATGTGATATTCTTGTCTCGCATTCAACCCCTAACCAATTAGTAATTTAGTGGGTTTGGTGTGGGTAAATTGCGCAGATATCTGCAAAAATTTTTACAGCACCAGAATTCATATGATGTTACGATAGGCATAGTCCAGGCCCATGCCTTCCAGTTGATTGACTCTAGACTCTCAGTCCCTACTCTCTCTCCTCTAGCAGGGCCTAAAATCTAGGATAGATCTAGATCTGTCATCTAGAGATAGATCTACCTAGTCCAGGGGTCATCAACCTGTGGCTCGCGAGCCACATGCGGCTCTTTTGATATCAAGATGCGGCTCTCCAGCTCCTTGGACAAATACTAATAATCTTAATAAAAAAATAAAATATTTGAAATTTAAAAAATGTTAGTGGCTCTTTAAAACCAGGGAAATTTTGAAAATTGTAACTTTTGGCTCTTCCCCTTCAAAAGGTTGCCGACCCCTGACCTAGTCTACTACTAGATCTAGAGATAGATCTATCACGATACGGCGATACGGACTCTGTGAGTCACTCACACCCAGACTAATTTTAATTTTTATCAACCAACTGTCTCACTCATTGGCGACATTGAGACTTAATAATAATTGAGAGTAATCTATCTAGATCTAATTCTAATATGTGCCAGTCTGTGATCTCTAAAGTCTAAACTCTAACTAAACTCAAAACTCGTAAAACTCAAAGTCAAAAGTAAAGTTAACTAAACTGAAGTAACTCAAAAAAATTTAATCTTAACTACACGCTGGCTAAGGTAGACTTTAATTGTAGGCCTACCTTCTCGCATCTTTTGGTCCAATTCATCTAAAGTAGGCTCGATAAGTTCCCAACCATCGGGTGGAGGCTTCCTGCTTCTCTTAACTTTAGGCATTCTTTAAATCGCAACTTTCTCAGCTTAGCTGTTTACTAGACAAAGTGTTTACAGTTTACAGTACTGAGCTACTCCAAATGTCAAAAACAAACGTTAACTTTTAATGGAACTAAAACCAAAAGAATTATTTCTGAACTAGAAGACCAAAAAAAAAACTTATTGTTTAAAGAAAGAAAAATCTGAACAAGTTTCGGGAATGTCAAGAAAAAAAAGATGAAAAAAAGGAGAAAAAGCAAAAAATATAATAAAACTGCCTACTACTCTGGTTTTTCTTAAGTTTGTAATAAATTGATTTATTGACCTACTAATAACAAAAGTTGAACATAAGATTAAGATGTTATATATTTATTTAAAAGAATATTATAAATAATTAGGCATATATATAATTTTTAAATAAAAGAATAGCCTATATCTTATGTTAAGGCCTATAAAAATAGTATTTGTAGGTATTCATGTTCAGCGTATTTGATTTAGGGCTCGTCCATGAATGACGTCACACTACTATGGTCCTAGGGGGAGGGGGACGTAATTTTGTGAGGATGTGTGATAAGGGGGAGGGGTTCGGATAGTGTTACGTCACACTGTTGCATTTTAAAAAGTTATGTTAGAATCTCAATTCGCGTTTTTTGAGGACCGTTTATGTAAATTGATTAATGTACTCTATGTTGACCGAGCTCAGTCAATATTTTTAGGAAGAAATCGATGTTTGTAAAAAAAAAAAAAACTGCAATTTTGGGAGGGTTGCAGGCAGAGTTTCTTTCAGACTTTTCTCCTGGGGGGTGGGCACTTGAATTTTTTTTGGGAGGGGGGGGGGCTCTGGCGGGCGGACTTAATTTTGTTCGGTGTGGGGGCGGAGCCTGAAGAGATGCCTGAAAGAAACCCAGGTTGTAGGCTGAGGAGTGACGTAATTTAAGGGTGGCGGCTTTTTTGTAAGGATGTGTGACAGTCTAGAGGGGGGAGGTAACAAATCTCCCAAAAAAAAACGTGCCGTGTTTACAGATGACCCCTTAATATTCCATTTTTTTTAAAACGAGTTTTAAGTGTTATTTTTACCATTAAATAAGAGATATTCATTACCCCTTTTCATATTGGCAGATTTTGCTTAGAATACACATCTGGTACACATCTTAGGCTGCTCTTACTATACAAATTCTTTTAGTTGATCACCTACTTTGACTCATCATCCAGAGCAATGCTGCGTGTTGCAATATTTCCATTTTTTTTTAAAAAAGGTCTTTTTTTTAATCTGTGTTTCCGTTTCTGAGTTTCCCCGTGTGGGATCATCTAAGAGTTAGCCTACCTTGAGTCATTAGTTTTTAAAAGTGCAGAAAATTTGCAGGAGATATTTTTTTTGCTAAAGATAATAATCCTGATAAGTATAGTCACATTGTTGCTTTCCTTGGGTAAAGTCAGTGGCGTAGCCAGGATCGTCTCATGGGGGGGGGGGGTTCAAATTTTTTCCAGCATTTTATATATATATATATATATATATATATATGGTAATCTATCGTTTTGGGTACGTAAAATCGCCCGCGGCTATTAATGTACGAAAACGTTACCTCATTGTCAAGGCTTTAATAGAAGTATATTGTCATGTGTTTGTGTCAAATATTATAGATAAATGAATAATAAACCTAAATCAATGGCTAAATATATCGATATAGGCCAGAAATTAACTCTAAACAGCAGTGTCTGAGAGCAAGATTTGCTATATAAACAGCAGCCATTTGTAAAATAGAGTGACTTCCCCCTGAATCTCCCGCTAAAAGCTTATAAAAATAATACTTAAACAAGATGGCTGCTATAGTAAATGAGCATGGTTGCATCTGTTGGAAACATCGCTAGTCTTCATTTATTACGGAAACGTTTTAATTCAATTGTTTAAAAACAGGTACATAAATGAAACAAGGAAACATTTTTGTATTTTAAAAAACATAAATCCTCCTCAAAATGTGAAATAATTATTAAAATTTAAGGAGTCACCTGGTGTTCACATTACAAGTCGCGGGCGATTTTACGTACCCAAAACGATAGATTACCATATATATATATATATATATATATATATATATATATATATATATATATATATATATATATATATATATATATATATATATGTGTGTGTGTGTGTGTGTACATATGCATGTGTAAGTGCGTGCGTGTAAAGTATTGGTGGCTGGTGACAATAGAAACTCGTGGGTGCCACCGACTAACTTATCTTAGTATTAGCTATTGTTTTGTAACAAGTAACACATGTACACTATCGTAAAAAAATTATAAAAATCAAATTTCCATCATTTTCAGCAGTTTTCTCCAACTAAAAATTTCCTTGTCGGCCGCAAAATATTAGAGATTCTATTATGGGCGCTAATCTTAAACGATTTTCTTGAATTTGTTGACTTATGATAAATTTAAGGAGATTTTAATAAGTTAATTTTTTTTTTCTCCATCACCGATTTACGATTTTGGGAAAGTAAAATTGCTCTTTTATGATACTCACATTGCTGGTGCTCATTAAACTTGTCTGTTGCCTTTTTCCAGTTTGAAAATGAAATTTTTGATAGCTTATCCATAGGCTGACTACCTACACCACGATAATTCAAACTAATCAAAACACAATATTTGCAAAATGCGCCATCAAGTAATTTGGAATAAGTCAACCAGTTCCACCTAAGTAGCCACAAATATTGAAACTTTAAATTTCTTTGTCCGCTTGCTGGAAATTTTAAAAGTTCATCAGGACGCCAGATGTTTTCTAATAAATACAACCGTGTATCGTCTGTTATAACTCCTTTGATAAAATTGCCGATATCATTTGCGTAAGAAACAGTCGAAGGTGCTGAATTTATGGAAATTTCTTGATGTAATGTACTTTGAAAAGCAATAGTACCATCTTCATTTTTATCATTTTCAGTTTTACTTTTCTTTGTAAAGAAATCAGTTAATAAAGTAGTTTTTAATTTCCTTTTTCCTTCCGCCATCATTAAAATGAATTTAAATTGCTTGAAGTAGTTAAAAGATACACATTAAAACACGACTATACGAAGAAGAAAGCAAATTATTATTGGTCTTCTATTCTGTCTAAATTGACTACTGTAGGTTCCTGGCTTTACATCTATATTTAACCAAATACGCAGTTTTTTTTATATAGCCTACCAACACAAAGTTTTGTGTCAACAATTGTGGGTCAAGCCCACGCCTTCCTGCCAGATGTGCATCCGGTAGTATTTTATAATTGATACGTACCAATATTCATCCCACCCTCACCCCCTTTTACACCCCTTAACTGATAACCTTGTTCAGCTTTCCCTTCGCCTATTGCGACCCTGAGTGTTTGTTGTTTAAGCACTGAATGATAGCGACACAAGTCCATCGTCGTCAATAGCTGTAACTTAACGTAAAGGATTGTCATTTTGAAGGTTCTACCCCCCCCCCTCCCCTCACCCCTGCCTACTCCTCCCTCTGCCATCTTTATCATTTTCAGTTTACTTATCTTTTTAAAAATTAAGTGAAATGAATTTCAAATGGTTTGAAGTAGTAAAAACATACACATTATAGAACCTCAATGCGAATAATAATCAATTCCTTTGTTTGTTTTTCATTTCTAGACGCTTTCCGATTGCACTACAATCATATTAGACAACAAAGGCCTACCCACGTAGCCCACCCCTCCCTTTCGACACTCCTTAACTGATCTAACCTTGGCCAACTTTCCCTTGGCCTACTGCGTTCCAGATTATTATACTTTACTTTAGCGCGATAATAAAATTCATAACTAAATTCTACAGGCAATTCTCATCACAATGATATACATTGTTGTTCTAGAGGCTGCCAGGCTTAAGTGTTTAGTGTTTAAGCCCTAAACAATATTGACACAAGTCAATAGCTATAGCTTAACGTAAAAAAGTAGTCATTTTGGGGGTCCATGGGGGGGGGGTTATAACCCCCCCTAACCCCCCCCCCTGCCTACGCCACTGGGTAAAGTTTAGGACTTGGGGAGGAACTGTGGGTGGCCGGTGGGATGTATAGTAGGCTATTCTCCCATACATTTCAGTCTAGCAGCTTTGGGGGTCATCCATAGATGACGTCACGCTTTTTTGACGATTTTTACCCCCCCCCCCCCGTCACTTGCAAATCAAATTTCACCACAACTAACCAATTGTTTTAGACGAAACAGATTTAGCTACAATGACAACGCAATGAGAAATTAACTATAAAATAAATTAGATATTTCATTTTTTTTAAATTAATTAAATTTTTTAATAAAATGTACTAGATCTATTAGTCGTATTTTTGTAACACGTGTAATCAGTGAATAATTGTTACATAATGTTATGTAAAAATTTTTTATAATAATTTTTTTATAAATGCTCAAATATAAAGAAAATTATATTAAAATATATACATTACATTTATAGCTACAAACCAAAGTATGGCCAATCACAAAATCTTAATTTTGAGTATATTCAATTGCTGTTTAATACTATCAATATAATGCAAACCTGTTTATATAGAGAGATGGGTTTATACATATTTTCAATACATCATAGAGAAACCCACAATTTTAGTAATTTTATTTTTTTAAATGCAAATATAAAACATTTTGCTATTATGAAAGTTTTTACATATTTATTAAGGCTAACATGTTAAAATGTATTTAGAATTAGTAATACATGAAGTGATTACTCTGTTATTGCCACTTCTGTGAGATTTTTTAAAATACATTTTATTTTTGTTATTATTTTGTTTACTTAACCCCATTTAGTAAAAATACAACTAGAGCCAAACTTTGCAAGACAGCTGTCCTGTAACTAGATCTATATATCAGTATTTTGAATCAATTTTTATCAACCAGTACAAGTATTGCTCATACTTTTTTTGTCATACTAAACAACACATAAATGTTAAATTTTTATTTTTTAATTCAAATACATTTATATTAAAATAATATAAAGCAAACTCAAGAGTTAAAATCCATTTATCCAGAAAGATAACACCAGTGCTCTTTTAAGATAAGAGTTAAAGAATAAAAATCTACTCAACATACAACAGTCACAAAGCCTTTGTTACATTCATACTAATGAAACAGGTATACTTTTCAAAGATTTATGCTACACAACAAGTCCTATGGTATATTCCATGCCTAAAAATTAAGAAAATTGTTCCTAGGTTGCTTATTGTGAAACTAAATGCAATGTATTATAAAATAATACAATGGAAATGCACTAACAAAATTTTAAGATTTAATACTTTCCAAAATGTTTAATATATTTAGCAAAATAAAGTTTTATGAAGCACTGGCAAAAAACACATAATCTTGTAGTATACTTAGTATTTCCTTATCCAGATATAAATCCCTGAAAAATCTGAACAGCTACTACAAATAAATAGAGGATTTAAGAGTGTGGCAGAGAACACATCTCACATGTGTTGTGGATAGCTTGGTTTAAGAATGTGCAGTGAGCACATGTCCATAAAGAACCAGATTGTGAGGAGTCTTCTCCTGGTCTGCTAATTCCTGGCATAGCTGACGATGACCCAGATGATCCTAAAGATAAAAAATTACAAAAAGAGTTGATATATCCCAATGGAAATGTTTTTAAAAAGTGTAACTTCACAGTAAATTTGGTTAATGAATGAACTTATTGAAACTTCTTAATACTGTTTACCAGTTAAAGGTAAAATGGTAAGTAAAATATATAAAAAATATACAGTCATTTACCATTAGCAGACATCATTTCTTCAACAGTCGCCCATTCTTCCGTTTTCTTGAATTCCAGTGCTCTTCTTTCATCATGATTTTTAACAGCTTCAAACAATATCTCCATTTTTTCCTAGAAATATAATATTCAGCACAATACACTTATGGCATTTACAGCACTTTAAAAAAATGCTGTAAATTTTAACATGAATATATTTCCCATTCAATTATTAAGGATAAAATTACATTTCTACATCTAAAAAATTTTTATTCTGCCGTCACAGAAAAAAAAGCTGTCTTACAGCTTGCTTTTTTTGTAAATAAAAAGTTGACTAACCTTAAGTGGAAGCATATCTGATGTAGCAAGAAACATAAGTAAATGAAAATCAGACATGGCCTCAAGAAACTTTTCAGGAAGAAATTTCTCTAAATAGGATGTTAATGCAGCAAAGTCCTGAAAATTGATTAACAGGAAATATAACAGATAGGTATTACACATAATAAATGTTTTATACATTTTTATCAATAAAAATTTCAATAGGTTAAGTTCTTCTGCTTCTTATATGTCAGATAATGAATGGAATGTGTGATAGGCTCCATTCTCAGCCCTTTTTCTAGATTTAAGTCAGGTACCTGTCTAATGTGAATGGACATAATCTCTTGTAACAGCATAACTGTTTCGAAAGTACATTTCCTATTATGTGTAGATGGCTGGGAAAGAGTTTAAAAACAACTAATTTTATCTTACCATGATAAAAACCATTTGTAATGTATACTGACCTGCGTTTGGCCAACATGTTCCCTATTTTCCACAGGAAAACTTTCCAATTGTATGTTGGATTTGAAAGTGTAATGAAAATCTGATGCAAATGCTGCTGGGATTGTCACCAGCAAATATTCTACAGGAAGTGGCCTTGCAATATGTGTAACTTCATTGCCATAAGAATCTTTATCCTAAATACAAAAAATATGTATTTACAAATCTGCATTAAGTTTATTATGCCATTACTTTACACATAGTTTACCACACAAGTGTTTTTACCTTGTAAAATACATCAGGCACATACTGTTCATTGCTTGATTCTTTGATATAGCCAAGCTGTGGCACATCTTTTGTAGGAACAAAACAATCATCTCTGACAAGAGCCATACACTGATTTGATACTTGATAACCTTCAAAGTGTATTTGGTTGTCATTGTCACCTGTGAAATCAGAAAAACACCATGTGCTATCCTATACCAAACATAATCTTTAGTAGATTATGGCATCAATACTACCATTGATGCCACAAGAGAGATCCAATAATACAACTATTACAGCCGTAAGATGACCTTACTGTCATTATGTAAAATAACTGAATAAATCAAGGGTTTGTGCCTACCAGTTACAACTACTGTGACAAACTTTGAACCGAAATGACCATCCGGTGATAGTTTACATGGATTAGTAAACCGACTCTGAAAATCTGCTGCCATAATACATTCTTCAGCACTTAGAAAATGTGAATCCTGATGAAAACATATAAAACACACATTTTATTGTTTTAGGCCAATTTGACAACCAATTTCTAATTTAAATTATCATATTTCTAAACATTATGAAATATTTTTAAGATTAGATTATACCAAAGCTAAAAATATTTAAAAAAAAAAAAACAACAAAAATCTTTAATTAACCTCAAAAGAAAGAAACTTACAATATTGCCTCTAAAATTCTTCACTGTGCCTTTAGAAAGATCATCAGCAACCAAATCTGTAAAAATCCAACCTACTGGCCGCAGTCCCATTTTTTCAGCTGCTGCTACTACCAGCACTTCCTTTGGATCAGGCAGCAGTTCAATTTTGTTAACTGATGTTTTCTGAAGAAAGAAAAAACTGATATAGAATATTAATGTAAATGGCATAGTTAAAAATAATTATGTACCCAGTTAATAAAAGGGCCCAAGCCTTATCACCTGAACTGAACTAATCCTATACCATTAAAATAACCTCCAAACAAGGTATTATTTTACACATAATTAGAAAGCTATGAATTCACCTAGTTAAAATAAAAATATTAACAAAAAAGTAACCTGAGGAGGTTCATAAATGGCAGCTACTCTTGCTCTTATTCCAAGGGGCACATCTTTGAACATTTCATAGCGCCCAAACAAAATACCAATTCTTTGGCAGCCAGAAAAACGCCAGTAGTTCAGAAACCTGTCAGCTACAGCCGGGTTCTCAAACATGATGTTGTCAACATGCCTATACTCCTGTTGCCAGAAGGTATAGAAATTTACTTACTAATTTTAAAGATTTTAAAAATAAAATTAACAATAGTTATCATAATCACAGATAGATGTTGATAACAGGAAATCTAATAATAAAAATGAATACCATAAGAATAGTTTAACAAATTACTGTAACAATAAATACAAAAAGCATACTATAGGTAAACTTGAGATATTCAACAATAAAAGAGAAGAAAGATGATAATAACCTGTCTGTTTAAGGTGACAGCACTTGGCTGACATTTGGTACAAATACCCCCAGGCCAGGGCGGATGTTCCTTACAACCAGGCTTTATTTTACAGCTTAAATTCTCCAGATTCACAAATTTTCCCCTGAATAAAATAAAAATAATTTATGTAGCAAATACTCCACCAGCTTATAACTTAAAAACATGCATTCTTTAGATAACCAATGATCTCTATTGTAAAAGAATATTTTTAAAGCATTAAATGTTAAACTATTTTGGCTTACTTGTCAACTCCACCAGTTAATTTTCTTATATACGAGTGGAAAGACAAAAATTTAATTGGGGGATCACATTTGCTTAGAAACTCTCTGTCATAAGGCTGAAAAAAATATTTGTAAAATTCAATTAAACAAACATTTGATTGAGATAATTCACTGGCATTATTTTAAAAATTGGAAGGTAATGAAACTGTTTTGTCTTACCTCAAGAGGAACACAGTGGAGACATTTACCCTGTGGGCCATGTCGACAGCTAGAAAGTAACAAAATAAAAGCATATTTACAAAACCCCATGAATTTTAAAATTATGGTTACAAATGTGTATCTAGTAGTTGTTCAGGCATAAAATTAATCAAACATCACAACTCTTAGAAAATGTCAAGATAAAGGGCATAAAATGCTAATGCAGGTGTTTCTACTTACAGTTGGTCATTCCTATTTCTGTAAATTTTACCATCTTCTTCTCTCAATAACCTGTCTACCTCATCCTCAACAACATCAGGCACTAAACTGGCAAGACCTGTTTCACTGCTGTGATTACTATAGCTGGCGGTATCTGCAACTGCTGTTGGTCTTCTTGACTGGCTTACTTCCATATACAACATGTCACCATGTCTAGGGTTATAACAAATAAAATAAAATTGTCACCAATGGCATTATGCTGTTTTAATAAACAAACTATTATTGTTAATACAAAATTAATAACTTAAGTACACAAGCAAATAATTTTCTAATTACAAGATAAATAAATTAGTATTAAAATAAAATATTAAAACTAAAATCCTGCATACTTAATTTGATAATCACTGAGCTTTTTTGATCTTGAAGCCCGAATGAAGTCTTTTTTGTTTCTTTCTTTATACAGTTCCCAGCCGGTGTCACCCAGAAGAAAAAGTTCTTGTACCTGAATTGAATGGGAATTTAAAATTAAATTTTACCTTTTAAGACTTATTAAAATGTATCATCACCAAACATAACTGAAATGAAGGCTTAAAGCTTTAAAGCTGACAAGAATGTATCAAAACTAGCAGCACATTAAAAATGTCAATTAGGTTCTACTTCTTCAAGACACTTACCTTTTCAAGAAAAGCTGTCACATTATCAGAGCTTTTAACATCAAGACGTTTTGTACCATGCTCAGGAGACTGAATCCGTATGACCTGCCAAAATTTTTAAAATGTCTGGTTTCAAAATCACAAGTGATTCATTTTAATTGCATGTAAATCCAATTAAAGGTTTCAATGTTTCTGAAAACGTACTAAACATTAAAGTTAATATGTACTTAATACATTGTTAAACATGTCTGAATGATTGCCCAGAGCAATCAAGAGTTAGTGGCATAACTTATGCCAAATAGTTAATACCACTAAGCTCTCCTAGTCAGCTCTTGCTACTCAGCCTAGGTAGTAGACAAACTTAATAAAAAAAATTTATGACTATGACAATTGTTTATAATATATACCTGTTAGTAGTGTTAGACACCAACCTAGTAGATTCTAGTCATGGTCAACTTCACATTAATGTGAGGGGTATTAAATACGCACGAGCTGACCAGCGACGTAGCATACGCTGCTATTTAGTTTAATTCCTATTTTCAGTAATTCATAATTTGTGAATTCGATTTATAATTTGTGAATTGGACACTATCAATGCTGTGACTAAAAATATTTTGCTTTAAAACACTATCAGTAGCTAGTGAAGGACAATTATCCTCTTTCCAATCCTCTTCCCCCCCAGCCCTCCGTGAAAGCAGCCGTCTGTGATGACAGTTTACAGCAGGGGTTCCCAACCTTATTTTACTCTAGAGCACATTCTAAAATATCGGTAGGGTGGCGGGCACCACCTATTTTAAATCGACAAACTCCTTCCAGAGGCGTAGCAACCCTTCCCGTCACCCGGGGACAAAACTTTAGATTTGCACCCCCCACTCAAATTTTCGATTTGCACCCCCCACTCAAATTTTTGATTTGCACCCCCCTCAAACTTTCAATTTCCATCCCCTTCAACCTTTCAATAATGTTTATGAAAAAAATTGTCTCTGTCGAATAGTGAGAGGCGGGCACCATGGCGGGCACGGGGTTGGGAACCCCTGGTTTACAGACAATGAAAAGTGCAAGCAGAACATGTTATAAAAAATCTCCCCTTAATAACAGCTCACCAGACTGGTGGGGTGGGGGTGGTAACGATATGGTCTGTTGAGCTTATGTCTTGGTGGTGTCTCGCATGGTCCTCACATAGAGAATTATATATATACTCTTCATAAGAAGAGTTTTTGGTGGAGGTCAAGACACACACTGACTCATATGATTCACGATCCGATTTTGTCAGTGTGGACGACAGAACTATTAGTTATTACCATAAGAAGGTGTTTGATGATTGCGCATATGAAATTGGTGGGGTTCGGTAGCTCAAGGTTAAGAACCACTGATCTAGAGAATTAAAATAAAATACAATTCTCCAGGTGGCATTCTAGATCTATACTCTAAATTACTGTCTAAACTTCTGAGTCTAACTAACTAAAACTGAACTCTTTGAACTATAAATGTAAATCTTAAATCAATCTTAATCTAGATAACTGAGATTTACACTCTACTGTAAGTCCAGACGCGTCCCGATTTCAATCAGGTCTCATTCCATAACTATTTGTCATAGAAAAAAAGTACCATAATACTCCGCAGCCATTCAACTGTAATAATATATGTTTCATTTTGTAATCCAACACATAGAATTTGAGAAAATCTTCAATTTCTTGGTTTAGTAACTTACATGCTATCGAACATTTTTTGCCAGGTTTTTCACAATTTTACAAGTGTTCAAACACCTTTACAAGTCATTGAACAAAGCACATTTTGTTCATTTAGATTAATTTAGAATAATTTAAAGTCAACTGAATGAATAAAAATATATATTATATGCATTTATATTGTGTTATTGATTGTTTGTGCAGTAATTTAAATAGTTAAAACGTTTTTCCAACACTCCCAAAGCCTGCCCCATTCGGCCACTGTCTTAATATAGATTGTATGTTGTGGCTCACGCAGTTTTCTGCTAAGTAAGCCAAGTCACATCATTCCCCCACCCCCCTTTCCATTTTTAGCGACTACTGCCTTCTTGACCTTATTTTGATCCTTTCCTTCAACCAGCTCCTTTTACGATGCAGTCTTTTGTCTAAATACTCATTTGCTCTATTACCAACTAAACCAGTGACCACCCAGCCTCCTTATCGGTCTCCATTAGTGGGCTAATGATTTACTTTACGTATTCATCTTCTGTTTATACTTTGTAGAATTAGATTTCTAGGTAGATTCGAGATCTAATTTAGGTTTAAACTCTAAATTCCTATTTAATAACATTTTTGTGTGTTGCCGTTCGCTCCAATGTAAGAGCTCAAAAAGGTCAAATAAGTGAGCGAACACCCCTTTTTTATTTTACAAGTAGAAAAAAACAATCTTGACATTTATGATGTTCCATACATACATAGAAGCTATTTAATTTATAGTGTAACCTTTTAGCTAAGTGTTGATTGGTTCAAATTTTAACGGTAAGTTCAACCCTAGGTCACTTCATGTGTGTGTAAATGTGTGTACTATGCAACGTTGAAAAAATTCTAAAAATAATTCTTGAGAGAGAAAACTGAAGTACTTGACATGGAAGTATTCGTAAATGAACAGTTTACGTTCAGAGGCAGTGGTTTCGCATGGGAAATGCTAATAAAAGTTTCTATGAAGCAAAAACCAACAAAGTGTTCGCTGCAATGTGTGTGTTTGCAGATTGTAATTTACTCCTTGTGTCACTACTCACTAGCTAGATCTAGCAGGCCCTAGCCTAAATGATTTTTAGATCAAGTCCTAAGACATTGACTATTGTAGATAGTGATTCTCGAATTCCCTTAAATAAAAATTAAACTTCACTAGGCCTAATAATAGGTTGAATTATGGATTTTTTAAAATAAAATATTCTGTTATTTCAAATACACCATTAACTTCCTTACCCCTTATGAGAACATTTGACACCACATTTAAATATCTAGCTTACTGGGTTGACGAGAAAAGAGAGAATTTGAAATTTTTCCGATATTGGAAAATGAAAGACAAAACCGCGTTTCAGCCCCTCGACCCTCATAACATTACGTCGTGGACGTGTGTACACGAGCTATTAATTCCCGCCATGGTAATTGCGTCAGCTTAGGTTATTTACTCACCGGAAAATAACAAAAAGCAACTGGTTGATAATACAACTAGATCTAGTTATTTTATTATTTATTAAATTCTACTCTACATGTTATTCATACCATTTTATGAAATAATGAGCACCTGCATAAATCAAATGACCATAATAAATATTTTTATTTCAAATTCTAATTTTAAATAATATATGCATAAAATAATATGATAGTAATAGTGTAATAGTTAAGATAGTTTATAAATACAAATACATTTTACACTCAATCACATTATATTGAGTCAACAGTGTGGCAGCTGAGGTTCATACATGGTATTAGTGTCTTTTTTTTTTACATTACATTTTTTTTTTATCTTGAAAACATGACGTATGTGATTTTTTTTTTTTTAAATAAAATCTCCAAACATCGTCACTCGCTTGATTGCTTGCTTACGTTTACTATCCTGTGGATGAAAAATCCCACCACGGTCGCGGGTCACCGTGAGTTCAGCAGGCCTATAGTACACGTCATAGAATGAACACGCGTACACTAGATGGTCGGTGTCTTCACTTCTCTCTCTCTCTCCCCCCCTTCTTCAAGCAAATTGAAAAACAGACCTACTTCCCTACTTCTGGACATTTTTTTAAAAGTTCACATATTGTTATCAGGCATGCTAGACAGCCAGCTGTATAAAAATAATTTTTTTAAAACTAGATCTACGTCTAGCTTAAAAAAATAAATAAATGGTAATCCAAATAAATAAACGCTTAAAATGCCCGTAAACAGATTATTTAGCGCCAAAAAAAAAAAGGTCGCTGAACGAGCATTTTTTAAAATACGCAGCAATGAAAAAGGCTAACGGCCGATCAATTAAGTCTAAAAATCGCCCGTAATTAGGCCTAGCTCTGAAAAAGGGCACTGAACGAGCATCACTAATTATATAAACGAATAGGCCACGCAGCGTTGACGAGGTTAACCACCGGTCACGAATGCAGCAACTGTCGGCCCACAGTGAAGAAAAAAAAATCAATATTCCAAAAAAAATTACTAATACAATAATAATGTCCATAATTTTACTTTTTCCGCACATGCTACAATTGAATTATAATTAAAATACTAGACTTAACAGTTCATTCCGTAAAAAACAAAAACTAGTTGTTTCAGTCTGGCAACTAGCGTAGCAATGACGTCATGATACTAAAAATAGCGGATAGAAATGTCAGCGTGGGTACCTCATTTTGGGATAAGATTTTGGAAACCAGAATCAATAATAATGTAAATATACAAGGTAAATATCTCAATTATATAATAACTTAGAGTCTGTCGGGCCGTTTTCCCCGGAGGTCGGTCGTTTTTAGCGGCGGTTCAGTTTTTACGGAGAGCGCTCCACTAGAAATCCTCTCATTATTTACAACAACAAATCTCTCGATTTTTTCTGGCATGCTAAGGCATATTATCCATTTTATTAGCATTCTGCATTAAAATAATGATGAGAATTTGCGAGATTAACAGTTTTTTCATTTGTCGTGGATAGGACCCCTAAAATAAACGTAAAAACCGTCTAAAAACGACGCGTGACGTTTCAGGGTCAGAGGTCAATCCAGCCATCTAAGCAACGCGCCAGACTACTAATAATATTAAGATTTAAGAAAATAAAAATAATTTCTTTTAGTCTTATTAATAGAGTTCAATGACCTGGCTTGCAAAAAATTTAATTTAGCCTGGCCTAAAAAAATATTTTTATTAGTCCTAGATCTGATCTACGCCTTATTTAACATCTGTAATAATCTAGAGCTACTTAAATGGAAGTTTAAAAAAATGCTATACCATATGAGACATGACTGAGTTTTAACAACGTAGTTTTGATTGAAGCTGAGTCGCAGCTTTGTTTAGTATAGAGAGTGGATGTTTTCCAGCAACCATTCACCACTAGCCTAAGATCCGGTGATGAGGCAATTTTCAGCCATAAATGTTTAGATATCGCAAATCTCTCGTTTGGCGAGATTTAAATATTAACTAATAATGTCAAATAATTTACTTCTGATATTTTAAAATAAAATGTTTTACTTTAAATTAACATTGACTTTGATTAAAATTCAATCAAATATAATGAAAGCAATTGAATATAGAATCTAGTCACAGTGACATAGTCCTAACTCTTCTTGTACTAGCCTAGCCAATGTAATCTTCCGTTGTCAGCTGTAAACAAACCAATATGGCTGCTTCGGATTCTGACAAACAAAACACATCTGTCTTACCATGTAATACTAAATAATACTCATTTAAATAACCATAAAATGTTCACAGTAATGCAGTTTCAATTTTCAGCATGTTTAAAATTATAGTTTAGTTTTGAATACTGACTTCACCACATTAAACAAGCGCATTTTTATAATTTTTTTTATTAAATTATGAATTAAATTGTACTTCACTACTTCACTTGCTTGAATGATGAGATGATGATTGTCATTGATTGATGATCGTACTCTCAGTAACTCTCATGACTCGAGTCATAACGTACTCGTAGTCAGTGAGTAGTAACTTATTTACTTAGGTTATAGACTCATAGAGTATAACTATAACTGACTGACCTATTCTAATTTTCTGAGTCCTTTTGTACCCTTCACAATTTCTTGCTAAAGTATCATAATAATAAAAATATATTTTAATATATGATTAGCCTTACTAGTAACTTAGTAGTATATATTTTATATATATACTACTACTACTACTACTAGTAACTAGAAGGCTCTATTTATTTAATATTATTTATAGGCCTAGATCTAGTATAATTAAGTATAATAAATAAGTATATAAGTTGATCTAGAATATGTAATTTCAGGAACACCACATTGCAATTGAATATAGTTAGGCCTCTATATGTAATATGTAGAATTATTTTCGATAATTTGGACTAAACAGTGTAGCTGTTTCATGAATCATAACTTACTTCTTAGTCACAAAGTATGTGTTTTTGTTCGCAGATATTAAAAATATTAAATAGTTTTTGTACTAATGTTTATCACAGACAGTCTTTTGTTCAATATTAAAATCTCCAGACACTTAAAAATATGCTACTTTCTTTTTTCTTAGTTCCACAATACGGAGAGCACAACAGACCTGATATAAACAATCAGGCATTCAAATACAGAGGAACACTATTTCGGCCAACTTCCGCAGTAAATGATGGCTCTGTTAAACTTAGGAAAAATGATAATAAGGAAGCATATGTTATTGATAATTATGAATTATCAAAGATTAATAAAACAGGAGATAAAAGATTTCCTTGTATGACAGATAATAAATTAAAACCTAATAGAGCATTCAGCGCAAAAGGGAGACTAGAAGGCCATATTTCTGACAATTCATCATCAAAACTTTCTAACAAATCTACAGTAGTAAATTTGTATTGTGACTTTAATTGTGCAAACATAACTAAACCAAGTACTACAAAAGTGGAACTAAAAAAACAGGACAGCAAAAAACATCCTTCATCACAAGCATTTTTCCAACAAGATTCTGTGCCTACTAGTCAGAAAAATCAAATATATATTAACAATACAAAGCTTATTCAGCCAACTATTTGTGGATTGACAGCAGAAACCAAAGACACAAATATTGAACTTCAGATTGTGCATACCAAGTCTCAGAATGGTTCTCTTCATACTGATTTAAATCCAAGAATAGAAAATAGCTGGAATAAAAAATACGAAATAACATCTGACATTTGCCATAGGTAATTAAATGGAACAACTCCCTCATAATTGTAAAAAAGTTAATTGGCATTTCTTTAGATGTGTGTCTGCAAATTACTTTAACCCTGGTAACTGCAGCCACATAGGTCAACTGCAATTGTTAAATTTAAAAAAGCAAAAATTTCTTTAAAGTAATTCATTTCAAATCCTCTGAAAGAGAACTATTCAAATGTATATTTTTGGATTATAAAAATAAGACCTAAAAGAAAGAGCATTATATGTCTTAAAATCTGAAGCCATTTTATTCAGTATATAAGTTAGCCTATACTATTATTTCTACAGAGAACTACCATCCACTCTAAAGCCTTTAATACCTTGGATAAGGCACCAAGCTTGCAGTAAATTGGTGGGAATTGATCCATTAAAATGTAAAGTTTTTTTGTCTCACGAGTATGACAGTGAGGATCTTCAAGTGTTGCCAGATGCCCAAAGGGCCAGTGATGACTTGCCTTACATATGTTGTGTTGAAACACCAAGAAAACAGGTGCAGAGATTTTTAAAGTAACAAACAGTTTAAAAATTGATCCATCTAAGTTTAGCTTTAGTGATAATGTGCCACAAGTTGTAAAAGACAAAGTTTAAAACTTTATGTTATAGTTATACACATTTTTTTGTGATTATTATTCTTATTTTTGACAATATAAACTAAAAATTATTTAAAAAAAATAAAAATGCATTTTAAGGTTTTCAGAGAATACCCAAAACTTGAAAGTAAACCAATGAATATAAGACCAGAAAATAAAAGGGAAACAGTTGAAAATGACCCTCACATGTAAGTTTCTTTTTTTTTTTTAAATTTAAGTTAGTTTATTTAATAATTTATACGAAATAAGTTTTTCAGCATCTTTGCCAATAATATACATGGGGATTAGTTATGGCTTGTTGTACTTGTACTATTTCTCATTCACTTATACTTTACCCAAATTCCATTAAAAAAGGTTGGACAACTTAACAAGATTGTGTATTGATTTTACTCCCTTGTAAATGTTGGTGTACATATAATCTATGTCACTGCTATAATATAATGTTTTTAGGTAAAGGAAAATTGTTTTGATTTTTTTTTCAATTGTACAAAATTTGGATTTAGCAATTCCCTTACTTAATGTATTATCTTTTATTTTCAGTAAGACTTCAGTTCCAAGGGGAATAGCTCAAATAAAGCTTGAAATAGAAGAAATGGAGAATTTAATGAAAGGTTTTTTTAATAGTTGCATTTATAACATCTGTAAACAATTAGTATTTTTTTATATGGCCACATGGTAGTGGGGAGTGAATTGCATGATTATAGATAAAGGCATTAGACTAAAGTTGAAACTGATCTTAAATAGAAGTAACGTATTAAATTAAATTGTATTACCTTGGTAACTCTTGCTTAAAAAAACTAAAATTCCTCTACGTCATGACAGAAATTATTTTTTACATTGTGTAGGGCTTACTAAAATACTGATCTATATTTTACAGGTATAGGATCATTAAATGGCCATTGCTCATTTGTGCAGTTTCAAGCTGAGATACAAAATGCTCAAGAGATGGCAAAAAGTCTGATAAAGTTTTCTCCAAGGTGGGTGTGACTCTACAATTATTAACTTAGTAAAAAAAAATTGGGTTAAGTGAAACATTCAACTATATAAAGCATTTAAAGATAATGATTTCACATTATTTAATATCAAAGTGCTTTATATGTTTTCTAAGAAGTGTATTAAAGACAACTTACAAGGTTATTAATCTAAAATTAAAAGTTCTGATGTATTAAATAAAAAAGAAATGTCTTAGACTAAAAGCAACCAAACTACATTTTCTACTTTTATAGCTTCAGTATAACTTGTTTATAAAATTATTTTCTTATATTGAATATGTATTATTTTTTAGAACTGAAGTACTGGATCCTACAGATCATGTAAGTTTATCAAAGAGTTTATCTCTTGCTGACTAATTGTGCTAAAACTATTGTAAGACTATATATAATAATATACATATATATGTCTCAATTTTAGTCTATTACAGTAATATAATAAACCCTAAATACATCATCCACACTATATTTATGTGGAACATACAAAGATCAACATTCATATATTAACTATTCCTCAATTTCAGTTTGGTTTATTAAAACTGTACAAAGATCATGAAGAAATAATGAAAATATTAATTGAAAGAAGAAATAAATGTCTACACGAGCTCCATCAGCTGCAACAAAACCTTGAGGAAACGAATGTAAAATTTGTGTAAAAAATGGAATAATAGTAAAGAGCCTAAATATTAAACAAACTTAAATGTTGTTTAGTGATATGTTATTATTGTTATTGAAGTGAACTGATGATTTCTATCTAGCATTTTTAAAAAGTCAAATGCAAATGCTGATGATAGATTTTTATAAACTTAAAAAAAAACACTATACAATGCCTTCTCAGAAGAAGTTCTGCATGTGTTTATTGTTTTGCATAAGAGTACTAGAATTAAATACTGCTGTGTTCATACTATAAAAGGCTAAGAGAGAACTTATTATTGTATAATAAACCATATTCTTTTATATCACAAAAATGAGCCCAGATTTTTCTGTAGTTCAGACTACTTGACATAAAAAAAAATTCTTCAGATATCCTGGCTCCTACAAAAACTACAGTATGGAAAAGAGAATTTGATACATTAATTCATCAATAATCAGAATACTGTAGTGGCATTTCTAAAACATCCACAAACTTGTTTAAACCTTTTTTACACTTGTTAATACCTTTTTAAAATTATGTTTAAGATTAAAAACATCATTATGCGTTACAAATAATTAACTTTTTGGCTATTAGTCTAGTTGCAATAACTTCTTTAATACTTTATCATGTTTCATAACAAGTGTTTCTTTCAGGTATCTACATTTTTTTGTCTTGATATAAAATTCCTATTTCTTTCTTTCATGATCTCTTCTACCTACTTATCTATCAAGTATTATAGGATAAAACTTATTTCTATTCTTTGTAGATCACTCATCCTCACCTTTCTGGGCACAATGTGTTGTTTCATAATGGAATGTAAACTTGTGGGCTTTTTTTTATCCATCCCCTCCAATTTATTTTTATGAATGAAACAACAATTAGGTTTTTTTAATTTATGAAGCCTACATTTTTAATTCCTTGAAGAGTCTCAAGTTTTTTTTGGTAAAATTCCAATGGTAATTCTCTAATATAGCAGTCTTGTTTTGACAATATCTACACCACATTTAAATATTTTGCTGTTGCAATCATGTAAACTTTTTTTGACCGATGCAACAGTTGATTAATAATTACATAAATAATAAGATAACTTTAAATTACTACAACTTTTCTTATATAAGATAAAAATTTGACCACCAATAAGAGGGATACAACAAAGATCAATGGCGTAAAACAGAAGTAAATAGCAGTAAAAAAATAACCTAAGGCGAATCAGATTAGAAATTTTTTTATTTGGTAAATAAAAATATCTTAACTAAAAAAACTAAATACTTAAAACGTTTTTTTAATACATGTGTAAACATATTTTTTTCTCAAATCTAAATAGAACTATAATTTTAAATTATAATAATAATAAGCCAGATAAAATCTAAGGCCCTTTTTTAAATTAGTGAGACAATTTTTATGAAGCAATACAACATAACCCAACTTATTTCAAATAATTTTTGTAGAATGGTTTTAATTTAGTTGTAAACTTGATTAATTATTTTCAGCAGAAAAAAACCACTTAACAAGAAAAACAACTGATATGTAAATAAAAAAACAGCACTTTTTTTGTATTTACAAGTTGATAAATAAGAAGAAAGCATAAGCTATTGTTAACTGTAAAGAAAAACATTTTCTTCTTCAGCTTTTCACAAAAGTTTTCTATCCTGGTAAGAATTGTAGTCTAAGTATACATGATGTTGTATTCTTTTAAATAATAACATTTTTAGAAACCTTAACTACTGAAGGGAAACTGACTCAAAAAATACTTGAAAATTACTAAAATGTGTTTTTATATTTACTTAATAAATTACACCTTTTTAAATGCAAAACAACTTAATTAACCACAATCTTATGTGAATTCAAAATAAAATTCAATTTTTGCCTTATGATTCTTAAACATTATTCAGCTTGACAAGAATAAAACTTAAATGAACTTATGAAAGAAATATATTCAACCACAGTGAAGAGTGAAGTTTTGTCTTTTTATGGTTTTTGATAACTTTTGCAGCAACACAAAGCAGAAATTAGCACGGAACACAGAACGACTTGAAGCTACTATAATGCCATGTTATACCAATGTTTTGGATACAAGTCAAACATTTTACATCAGAGTAAAACTGTGTACACCCAAATAATATATTTGCCTGTAAACAATCTATTTACTAGTCACTGAGCTGATAAGCTAGGATAAGCTGATTTTTTTCTTTATACCACAGTTGCATGAATCTAGATATATTTATTTTAAATGAGGTTAATATAATAATAAGTACACAAGTTACAGGCTCATGCACAGATTACCAGATAATGTGATTTGCATTGTATGCACACAAATTCACAATAGTACATTATTAGAAAATGAAACTCTGGGTCCAATTTAAATTTGTTTCCCACACAAAAAAGTAGAAGATCAGCAGTAATGGTTAAGACTCTCAGTCTAGTAAGGTTAATGCTCAGTGATGAATTATGTGTGGAGTTAATTAAAAAAATGAAATTGCTGTAAGCTATTTTAAGAAACTTTTAAATTTTACAGTGATGTCAAAATCCCTGAGCAATTCATATTCATCAATTGTACAAAGTGAAAAATGAGGCTTACATTAACAGCAGCTGGAGAATGGAGCATTAACTAGAACCAATCATCTGAGTCAGATGTAGAAAAGATATCATTACTTGGTGACAGGCTGTAGCTATCTCTGTAAGGAATTAAGTTTGAAACACGAAGCATTTGTCCAAAGGCATCAGCCGGACAGTCTTCCAACTTCTCTGTCTCAGACTTAAAGCTCAGCTTGTTTTGAAGCAAACTTGGTAGCTTAGTGCCTTTGATTCTATTTTCTCTATCCGGCCCAGTTTTCAAAGCATCAGAAACAGTCACAAATGCTAGTTTGTACAATGGAAATGGCTGAGCTAAAAATGAATCTAGGAAAAGAAGACTGTTGTCTCTATTTAATTCGACCAAGATATCTCTAAAAACCGCATCCTGTGTCAGATCGGATTCTACTAAAAACCAGTTGTTGACCAGATAATTAGAAATGTCTATGTTGCCACAGATGAGAGCAATATCTAAAGGAGACAGTAACAGAGAATAAAGCCTGTCACAAAATGATTTAGTGAAACAGTGATAGTCCCTTAAACAATCCAAACATACTGAAGAAGGAGCCCCACCATTGGTTAAAAACAGACTGACAATCTTTCTTTTGTTGTGTATGATCATTCTGGCCAGGGTGACATCACAGTGGGAAGAGTACACCTTGGCAGCTCCTGCTGTCACCAGTGTTTCAATACAACTGAATTCTTCTTCGTTCAACACACTGGACTGCAAGACAATGGAGAGGGCAGATTCTTTCTTATCACTATCAAAGGCACAAACATCTGCCCCAGCCTGCACCAGGATCCACAGGAGTGAGAGACGCCTGGACCTGGCAGCATACATCAGGGATGAAAGACCTTTTTTGTTTTGTTTATTTACATCAGCGCCCGCAGTCAGCAGCTGCTTCACCACTTCTTCTTCAGTGGATAACAGTAGGGCGGTGTTGCCGTCGTTATCTTCAACATTGACATCAGCACCAGCATCGAGCAAGAGTTGCGCAGAATCAGTGTATCCATTCATGGCAGCAAACATAAGAGCAGTTTGCCCATCCTTAGCTTGTACATTGATGCAGGCACCTTTCTCCAGAAGCAGCTTTAGGATGTTGGTGCTGCCTCTCTGTGCAGCTAACATCATTGCTGTGTGACCCCGGGAAGTTGCCCTGTTCACATCAGCTCCTGCTTCCAACAGCAGCTTGGCACAGCCCTCCCTGTCATGTAGTGCCGCCTTAATAAGAGGAGTATAACCTTCAGAATTCGCTTCATTAGGATCTGCATTGTGTTTTAACAAAATCTCTATGATTTTATCCTGCTCTTCTTCATTAGCATCATATGACAATCCATCAGAAAACTTAATTAAAGCTGTCTGGTCTCCTAGACCCTTTTTGCTTACAAGAGCACCTTTTCTAAGTAGTAATTCCACCATTTCTTTAGAAGAAGCTTCCATGAGCAAAGTTTCACCTGTAAAGGTTAAGGCATTCACATCCATCCCACTGTCAATTAACAGCTCAGTAGTCTTGTAACTTGACCCTTGAACTGCTGTAGAGAGAACACTGACATCCACCTGAGAGATATCAATATGCTGCAACAGCAGTTTGACAGAATGGAAACGGTCTTTACCAGCAGCCACAGAGAAATCCCTTCTTGCATTTATTGTTGCCCCTAAGCTCAGAAGCAAAACAGCACTTGGCACGTGACCCCCTTCTAGCGCATAGGTTAGAGCTGAGTTTTCATAGTCTCCACTTAAATTTATAGCGGCTTTATTTTTCATTAAAAGCTTTATGACATCTTTGTGGCCATATTTTGCAGCGTGCATGAGGGCAGTCATCTTGTCATATTTGTCTCTCCCATTTACATCAGCGCCATTGTCCAACAACAGCTGGACAATATTGCACCGCCCTGATGCAGCGGCTAAAGCCAGCGGGCGAATTCCATTTGAACCTTTGGTATTTATCTCATGAACATTTTCCACAATTAACTGTATCATCTCATAACTTGCTACATACTGTGGTTGCCATGAATTCAAGCGACCTTTCTTTAAAGCTGCGATGAGAACAGTTTCACCATCAATCTCCATGCAGTCTATGTGAATAAAATTACATCTTAACAGGTGCTTCAACATTGGGACAGAATTTTTTTCAATGACTTTTTTCAACATTGAAGAGGGATGAAATCTGGACTCTGACAACAGTTTGACAAAGTCTAGACATTTGTTTTCTGATGCATACATTAATGCCGACTTGCCTTTGTTATCTTTCATCTCCAAGTCAGCTCCACTATTGATTAAAATCATCAGAGTATTGAAGTCACACTTCTCAATACTGATCATGGCTGGAGTTTTGCCTTGTTTGTTTTTCTCATTGACAACAGCACCATATGAAATTAAATATTTCACAATCCAAGTTGAGTATCCTTTCTTGACAGCTAACATTAAAGCTGTGTCACCATTTTTGGATTTCATGCCCACACCAGCCCCATTCTTTAAAAGAATTTTGGCCACATCAATGTAACCGTGCTCAACAGCAGCTAACAAGGGAGACCCATAGGTGCTGTGCTTTTTATTAACACTGGCTCCTGCTTCCACAAGAAGAAATACAAGAGAAATGTGACCTAACCGTGATGCAGTAACCAAAGCCTCGTGCAACAAGTTGGGTGTGTAAAATTTAGCAGTCTGGTTATCATTCAGCAATCTTGTCACAACCAATGTGTTGCCACTTTCCACAGCCTCCATTAACTCCTTTCTTAACGACTCTAAATTGACTTTCTTATTCACTTTCTTTTGGATATTCCTTTGACTTTTCTTGACATTTTTGACTTCCCTAAAAATAATTTTAAAATATAATTAGAACTAGAATGACAAATACATAATCTGGGTATAGTTTTAAAGATAAAACTATTGTAGCCAACATACGAAAGAGTTTAATAATGATTCATGACCAAACCTTATCAAATCAGTGGCATTTTTATCTATAGAGATGAAATAACTCATCAGTATTCACCATTTCTAAAACAAGTTAATTTTGGTTCAACAAATTCTATGCATTCTAAAACCTCATTACCTGGGACACAAATACTATTAAGCTACAACTAAAAGGGAATAAACGGATTAAAATTTCTGCACATCATTCTCGTGTTCAGCTTAAGGACATGCTTGCTAACCATATAGTTGAGAGTTCTGTACCCAAACTTGAATCTCATGGTCATCCCTTGACAAATCTTTGTATCCCAAAAATCCCAATCTTTAACCACTTGATCAAACGAGACAAGGGAGGAAAGAGAAGCCTGGTATGATTGAATGGGTTATTAAAAGCAAACAATTCTCATATCTGCAGCTTGTCACTGTCTCCTTGGCTTAGGAGCATTGTTTAACCACATTATGCACATATAGTAGTAACTATTAAAACATACTTACTTATTTTGTGATTTGCTATGCTTAACCACATTTGCTTTGGCTGGAGTTGCTAAATCTGGCTTCACTGGCGTAAGTAATTTTATGCTTTGGCGAGTTTGCACTTTATTGTCACTTTAAAAATAAAATGTAATATTTTTTGTTTTATTAAAGCAAGACTTTATTTTGGCTAGCATTTTAATGAGTTTTCATTAATGGCAAAAAAATTATATAGGTTGAAAAATACATGAATAATAAATGGTAAGTTTCTCATATTAAAAAGATTACCTAATTTTAGTAAGTGTACTTGGGATAGTCTTGGGTTTCTTGTTTCTTAACCTTCTACTCACTACCAGTTTTTTCCCAACATCACTAGAAGTTTTGAGTAAGTTAGAAAGATTAAAACAGCTTAATCAATAAAAAACTTAATTTAAGTTTAGCTTATGAAGTCAGTATTTAAAAAAAAAATAATTAAGTTGTGTTATATGAAATGTTCAAGTTAATACCTTGTACTGTTTTCTAATTTACGTTTCTTTGAAGGCCCAATCTGCGGTGACTGTCTCTTTCGTTTAAGTCCTTTGGCCATGTTAATTTCCTAGAAATATATGTTTCAAAAATATTACATTATATTTGATTCACATTAAATATTAAACAGACCAATATATAAATGAAAATGCATTCCACTGGTATTTTTAAAATATTGTTGCTAATATATTTTCAAAACAGTTTCAACATAAAATTTGCCACTATCTCTTTTAATTATTTTGGCATATATTATTGTTATGGTATACAACTTGAACTTGAATATTCCTACTTTTAATACTAGTATGTGCACAAAGCCTAACTGCCAATGCTGCTCAACAGGATTGCACTTATCTAGTTTACCATTTAGCAGAAAGTAGGTTATGAAGCACCAATTACAGATGTTTCCCTCATGTTTAAAATATAATTTTTTAAGTGGTGGTGAACTATATGTGCAGTCATTTTAGGGAAGGGGGTCCAGTTTTTTTGATGATTAAAATATTGTTGATGCTGATATAAGTGAGTCTTCTCAGAAGGTGGTGGTAGTTCCATACATATTTTTCTCATACCTTTAACATGGCTCTAACCACCCACAGCTTTAACACAGACACACTAAATCAATACACAATTATTTACTAATGGCCCAACACAATTTTAAGTCAGAGATCATCCAACTTTTGTATGGCGATTAAAATTTAACTATATTGTTTGCATACCGACTATGCTATTTTATAAGTAAAGTATTAGATTAATCATTAGTATTTGTAGTAGACTGAAAAACTTCCGGTTAAAATAATTTGGTGTTAAATGAAATATATAATATATAGAGTATTTGTGGTAACTGCATTATTATTTTTCTTTAACCAATTTTTCATGTTAAGGATCATCCATAAGCAACATAACACTCCTACAGTGGGGTTCTGACTTTAGTGATGATGTGAGATGAGGGACAGGCTAATTTTATACTATCTGAATTTTCAAAGTCAGTATCATATTTTGGCTCAGAGCAAATGAATGCTTGTTATTGTGTTGAAAGAAGGCCTTTTTTAAAATTAATAATGTTTATATTAATATTCTCCTACTACTAATAATATTAATTATTAGACCGATTCTAGCAGGAAGAAGATGAGCATAGCGCTACAATGGTCTGGCTTTTCTTGTCATCTAAATGTTTGTTGTTTAGGCTTATGTGTTGTCCTGATGGGACAGGGAAAACAGGATAAATACTAATAGATTCAAATGGTCTATTAAAATATATTTTAAAAAATAATTTATACTTAGGCCCTATGGACTAGATCTCTTACTAGACATACAATAACTATACTATGAGTATGAACCCTAAACCCCTGATGACCTGCCCGAAGCACAACTGCTCGACCACACTATACAGATAGTTTGTCAGAAGAATAAGACTAAAATGGTAATTTGATCCCATTGCGCAGCTTTAAAAGAATAGGTTGAACAACTATTAGTAGTATTAAGTGTAAATTTGAGCCCATTGCGCAGTTATTATTATTAAGGTCATAGCATTTTTCATCTTCTGCCTGCCAGACTAGAACTGAGGGAATGAAGCTTTTTCCGATTAGTCACTTCGTAATTATTCTGTTACAAGTATTATGTAATAATATATACTTATATGCTCAACTGCAATATTAAAAATAGTAGGCCTATTAATATCATTATGCAGCCTGCTTAATATTATATTAATTTATCAACTTTACTAGATCTAGATTCTATTAGCTTAGGCCTAAATAATTCAAATTGAAATTATTGCTGAACTATAGGCCTACTGGCAGCTGGGCATAGTGCTGGGCATAGTGCTGACCACACTATCTCTTCATAAGCCAAGATCACAGAAACTTCACTTGCCCTATAGAGTATAGACCGTCAGATTTGAAAGGGAACTTTTCTTTTAATGTATAGGCCTACTATATTTATATTACTAATAACTAAACAGGCCCTATTATATAGTGTTACTTGATTACTAGTCATGGAGATGATCTACAGTCTACAGCAAATCTAAATCTACAGATCTTGATCTAGCATTAGTGATGTCTAAAGCAGGGGTCTCCAAACTACGGCCCGCGGGCCGCATGCGGCCCGCGAGGTCCTCTCATCCGGCCCGCGGAGATCTTTTTGTCCACGAAAAAAACGTTTGTTGGTGATGGCTGAGGAACTTTGCCCTGAAAAATCAAAGACATGCCTGGAAGAAACTGGCCCCCGAACTGAAATTTGGTAGTTAATGCGGCCCTCGGACTGAAAAGTTTGGAGACCCCTGGTCTAAAGTCTACTCTAAGCCATTCATAATTCATCTATCTAGCTAGAGACCTGGAGAGTCATCTAGAAAGTCTAGAGTCTAGAATCTAGATGTCCTAGAACCTAATCTAGATCAAGTTGATTTACAGTTTTAGGATTTATTGCTTAAGAAAAGTA